CTGCAGGCATTCTTCCAAGAGCACTTCCAGGCCGCGGGGCAGGAGCTGCTGTCCTGGACTCCCGAGGACTGGAAGGACAGGTACTACCTGGACAGGAAACAGGAGGGGGCCTTCGGGCAGGCCTGCCTCCCTGAACCCCGCGGGGTCCGTGTTCTTCCAGCCCCCGGTCGCTGCAGAAGATCTCGGACCCCAAGCTGAGAGCCTGGGCAGGGCAGCTCCACCAGCTCTGGAAGAAACTGGGAAAGAAGGTATCCACGTCCTGGATCTTAGCCAGGGGGATAGAGCTGGGAGAAGGGGAGACGAGCTTGGGGCCCCCATTGCCCTTAGATCACAGACTGGAATGCATTTCCTGAGAAGACAGCCTCACACCTGGGGTCCGTGAATGCAGCTCTCTAGAAAGAATTTCTGGAGGGAGAAAAGGGAACATCTACTTCTACCTTCTTATCTCCCCCTTGAAGCCCTCACCATCCTACCCACCCCACCCCCCTGCCACCCCAACTGCTGCTTATGCAAAACTAACCTCACCTGCCACCTCCAGGCCACCCACCTAGGCTCTGTCTCCCCAGAACTAGTCAGGTCAGGATTCTGCTCAGGAACAATTGCCAGTGCTGCTAGTGGGCCATGGTCAGTACAATCTGTTAGACACTTTCTCTCCTTTGAGGCTCGGAGAGGGCAGTGCTTTGCTCAAGGCTGCACAGCACCTGTCCTCCCAGAGGATGGGAGCCCTGAGCCTCTGGGGCTAGTGTGGCAGCAGGGATGGGGGAAGGGGAGTGGAGGAAACAGTCCCCCACCTGGTCCTAACACTGGCCAGTGCTTGCTGAGCCTCTGCCAAGGCCGGGCTGAGTCAGCAGGGACTCCAGAGACCGGCATGTGGGGGCCAAGCGGACCTGGCTCCCAGCGGCTCTGGCTTGACCAAGGCCACACGGCTGACCAGCAGCAGAGCCCGAACTCGTGCACCCGCTGCCAGGGCATCCACACCGAGGGGCCTGTGGGCTCCCTGTGCCCTCTCTCCCGACTGCAGGTGAAGCGAGGTCCTCAGCCACCCGGAGCAGTTCTCTCTCATCTACTCGGCCCACCCCTTCATCGTGCCCGGTGGACGCTTCGTCGAATTCTACTACTGGTGAGCGGCCAGAGCTACAGGGCAGGAGTCGGGGAGCCCGGGCCGGCGGGCTGTCCTGAGCAGAGGGGGGCATCCTGACTGGCCCGGTGCGCAGGGCGGGAGAGGGGGTGGCGTAGGGGGTTGGAGCTCAAGCTGTCCCTTTCCGCAGGGACTCCTACTGGGTGATGGAGGGGCTGCTCCTGTCTGAGATGCCCCAGACGGTGGAGGGCATGCTGCAGAGCTTCCTGGACCTGGTGCGGCAGTAAGCGGGGCGGCCCCTCCAGGCTGGGGCGGGGAAGCGCGGGCCTGGGGCTTGGCGCTGGATTGGCCTTGGCCTTGGCCGCTGGGCAGATGCACCTCAGCAGGTGTCCTTCTTGGCAGCTATGGACACGTCCCCAACGGGGCCCGCGTGTACTACCTGCAGCGGAGCCAGCCTCCCCTCCTGACTCTCATGATGGACCGCTACGTGACCCACACCAACGACACCGCCTTCCTCAGGTGGGTCCCCAGTCCCCCTGCTGCCCCGCAGGCCCCCTACCTGGGCCCTCCCAGGGCGGGACTGAGGGGTGTGCCTGGGCTGAGGCGGTGCCTTGCTCCACCCCAGGGACAACATAGAGACCCTAGCCTTGGAACTGGACTTCTGGATGGAGAACAGGACCATCTCTGTGAGCTCGGGGGGCCAGAGCTATGTCCTGAACCACTATGCTGTCCCTTACGGGGGCCCCAGGTAAGGAGCTGCTGCCAGCCTCTCGGTCTCTAGCTCCTCACTCCGGTCTGAGGGCCATGACAGCCCCGCCTCTCGGATGCTGATACTGAAAGCCCTGGGCAATCCAGGGCCCACCAAGGGCAATCCAGGGGCAGCTGAAGCAGCATGGCTCAGCCTCCAGCTTGGCCTTGGAGCCTCCCGGTGCCAGGATGCCCACTTTCCTCTTCCAGGCCAGAGGCCTACAGCAAGGATTTTGAGCTGGCGGACACGTTGCCAGAAGGTAAGCAACAAGCGCAGGAACTGGGGTGGGGCAGGGAGTCTGGTGTTGGGTGTCAGGTCTTGGTCCCTCATTCCCTGCCCCATTGTCCTCACAGAGGACCGGGTGGCTCTGTGGGCTGAGCTCAAGGCTGGGGCTGAGTCTGGCTGGGACTTCTCTTCACGGTGGCTCGTCGGAGGCCCAAACTCTACATCGCTCAGCAGCATCCGGACCAGCAAATTCGTGCCTGTCGACCTCAATGCCTTTCTGTGCCAGGCAGAGGTGCTGATGAGCAACTTCTACACCAGGCTGGGTGAGCAGCCCCGTGGGGGGGTGGGGGAGGTGGAGCTCACCCAGCTGGGATCCTACCTCAGCCTTGGCTGTGGAGCTGGAATTAGGACCCTGACTGAAGGGCCTCCAACCTCCTGGCTGGCTCCGGACCTCACCTCTAGGGCAAGAGTACAAATGGGCCCCCTTCTCCACACCCCCTCCCTTTCTTACTGGGAGGGACTACGAGGGTATGTGAGAGGACACCTGAGTCCACGCTTTCAAACTCCCTCCATTCTCTTTCCCCAAAAAACTGCCCTCGGACCTCTCGTAGCTAGGGAAATGCACATGGCCGGTGCCCTCCTAGGATGGACCCAGGAGCAGGCAGATGTGGGTCTAGAAGGTCCTACAGGGCCATAGCTCAGGAACTCTTAGCTCCTAGAGGCCGGAAATGTGGGCTCCAGGTCTGCACGTCCCCTTGGTGTCAGGACTTCTAGCCCTCGGGGAGGACAACAGGGGGAGGCCAATTTTGGCCTCTTTCTTGAAGGCATGGGACCCAAGGTCAGGGCCTCCTGGTAGCTCAGCCTAAAGAGAGTTTCACCCCAGGGAATGACATCCAAGCCACAAAGTACAGAAATCTGCAGCAACAGCACTTGGCTGCCATGAGAGCCATCCTGTGGGATGAAGAGAAAGGGGCCTGGTTTGACTATGACCTTGAGAATGGGAAGAAGAACCTAGAGTTTTACCCATCCAACCTCACTCCTCTCTGGTCTGGCTGTTTCTCTGACCCGGACGCCGTGGACAAGGCTCTGAAGTATCTGGAGGTGAGGGGGCAGCAGGGTGGGCGGGTTACTGGGGGCAGCACCACCTGCTCTCTCCCTGCTTCAGAGCCAGGGATCTCTGGCAAGTGGCAGCCAACCCTCTCCTCCACTCCCAAGTCGGAGCCTGCGGGTCCCGCTGAAGCCACCAGGGGGCAGCCCTGAGCAAGAAGAGAAAGTCCAGGGAGGGGGACACCTGTCTTGAGGAGGGCCCAGCCTCTTGGCTCCTCATCGAGCCGCCACCCACAGTCCTGAAAATGTCTGAAACCTCCTAGGACAGCCAGATCTTGACCTACCAGTATGGGATCCCGACCTCTCTCCAGAAGACAGGCCAGCAGTGGGACTTCCCCAATGCCTGGGCCCCCCTGCAGGACCTGGTCATCAGAGGTAGGGAGTAGGGAGGCAGGGATGGGGCTTATCCCAGGACCTTCCCCCCCCCTTGCATCTGGTCAGCCTGGAGGGTCAGCCTCCTGGTGCGGGGGACGTGTGAACACAGCAGGTGGGGTCTTTCTCTGGCTCTTCTGGTTTCTCAGCTCCCCACTCAGCAGACATGTGTGTCCACCCCCACCTGTCAGGGGAACCAGCCCTCCTTTCTCCCTCCAAACCCAGGCCCTGGGGAAGGAGCACGTTGGCTTTTCACGCAGCTTATGATGAAGGTCTTAAGGCCCAGGCCCCTTTCCCTCCTAGAGGAGAGTAAGGCTCAGGCCTCTGCTCCCCCTGGGATGGGGACTTAGGAGATTCAGGGTCCTGCCTGGGCGGGGGGGCATCTAGGTCTGGCCAAGTCTCCTTCACCTCGGGCCCGGGAAGTGGCTTTCCAGCTGGCTCAGAATTGGATCCGAACCAACTTTGAGGTGTACTCCCAAAAGTCAGCCATGTTTGAGAAGGTGAGCTGCTCCTGAGGACAGAGCCTCCTGGGCTCTTCCCCATGGTGGGCTGGAGGGGTGGGGGGCTGGAGGGGGGGGCGGTGGGCAGGAATGAGTACCAGGCTTTGCCAAGCCCAGGGACAGTGGTGACGCCCGGTGGCCATTCTTGGGCACTGCAGGGGTCAGAGCTGCAGGCCAGAGCAGCCTCTCCCAAAGGGGCTCTCATCTCTTGCTCCCCTGGAGGGCTGAAGTAGGGAGCCTGGGGTAGTGCCCCCCTGAGAGCCTGTGCTTTTGTTCCCAGTATGACATCAGCAATGGTGGGCAGCCAGGTGGAGGAGGGGAGTATGAAGTTCAGGTGCGTGGGCCCACACCCTACTGGGAACGACAGGGCTGTGTTGTTCCCACACCTGGCCATGACCTTCCCTGCCTAGGCCTCTGTTTCCTCCCATGGATGTGGGTCCACGGGAGCCTTACTGGAGCTCCTCTGCAGCCCTGGGGCTAGGCAGTTCTAGAGCCTCTGGGTGGAGATCTCACAGCCCCTAAAAGGCTGTGGGGCCTTTCCCCAGAGATCCTGGTCCACTGGTCCTGTCTCTCTCCAGGAGGGCTTTGGCTGGACCAATGGAGTGGTCCTGATGCTCCTGGACCGCTACAGTGACCGGCTGACCTCGGGGACCCAGACAGCTTTCCTGGAGCCCCACTGCCTCACGGTTGCCCTTCTGCTCAGCCTCCTACCGCAGTGATGGGCCTCCCTGCCCTGTCTGCCTCATTAAACTTCTGTGTGAGTCCCTACCTTCTCCACTGCTTCTCCATCCCCCACCCCCAGCCAGTCCTTGGAGTGGGATCAGAGTAGGGACCTAGAAGTCATGGGTTGGGTCCTTGTGCCTCCTGGAACATCAATGAGGAGGAAATCCTGTTTTGTGGGGACACTTGGTCCTCCTCCCCTTGTATCCCAGCCCCATCCCCCTCAGCCTTGCTCCCAAACACATAGTCCAAATGGTTTATTATTCTGTTGAGATGCTTACAAATACTGACCATCACCCAGCCCGGGGCCCAGCAGCCATGGCCCAGTGGTGGGCAGGGAGGTGGGCTTAGTGTTAAGGCGTGAAGGGCCGAGGCCAGATAGCTGGTGGCCTGGTCCTCTGCTCTCCATTTCTGTCACCCATCCGAGGCTGAAGGGAAGGCAGCCAGACCTCAGGGTCCTCTCACTCTGCCTCCTCCTCTCTTGCTCAGGTTCCCCCTTGGGGGTGTCTGAGCAGCCCTCCAGCCCTATTAGGAACTCAGCCTGTACAACCCATCTAGCCGCCTCTCCCATCTGCCTCCCTCCTCCTCCTCCAGTCTCTGGATGTCCGAGCTTTGTCCCTCTGGCTCTAAGCAAGGCACGAGTGGAAGGGAGAGGGCTGGACTGGGGGGCCGGCAGGCTGCGCACCGGGGCCTGGAGCCACAGGCAGGGGACGGCCGGGGCGGGGGTTGGTCCCTCCCCCCGCCCCAGCATGAGATGCACAAGGTCCTGGGCTGGAGAGATGGCAGTACGTACCCTCAGATGGGCCCACGGCTGAGGCATGGGCAGAGCCGGGGCCATGAGCATGTATGTAATCATGGCAACGAAGCAGTCACTATGGAGATCAGGGTTTGGGGTCTGCAAAAAGGGGATGGGGTTGGGACCTCAAGGATGACACTTGAGGTCTCTGGCCCTTGAACAAAGTAATAACAAAAATGCAGGAGAGCAGGGTAGAGCGGGGTTTGAGAAGTACACCGCCTGAGCTGTTACCCCACTCCGGATGTGGCTGTCCTCAGCCCCCAAGGCCCCTGCAAAGGGTGGGGGGCACGGAGGCAAGGAGGGATCTTTGGCAGATTCTGGTACCATAATTTGTCCTTTGCGAAGGAGAACTTAGGCTAGGGGAGCGCAGGTGCCAGGTCAGAGCTGGGCCTGCTCTGCCAGCTGCTCAGCCCTGGCAGCCCTGGGGCCGGACCGTGAAGGGTTCTTGCCAGTTCTGAGTCCCCAGTAGCCTCCCCACTTATCTGCTGGCTGGTTCTTCAGGGGCCCTGAGCGCGGACATTCACAGGACCAGCTCCTTACAGAAAGGTACGAAGTCTTGTACAAGAGCCCTCCCAGGGCCTCTGGGAGCACTGCCGCGCGGCCTGGGGCCCAGAGTGCGACTCTGTCTCCCGGGCAGTGCAGCAGGCCCACGCCGGGACCGGTATGATCAGTTCATGAACTGTGTGTAGCCCTCGGCTCCGGTGACGATGACATCCATCCAGATGCGCATGGCCTCCGCTGACGGCGCCACCATGTAGTACAGCCGGTCGTGGGTCTTCACACAGAAGGTGAGGGCTGGGTTCGGGCTCTGGCCAGGGAGAGAGGAAGGTCTAAGACAGGGCTCACCTCTGACCTTCTGTCTGCCCTTTGCCCCCCACCCCCAGCTCCAGGGTGCCCTGGAGCTCGAGACTGAGTCCCCATCAGTCAAGGGGGCCCCAGGCCAAAATGTTCCCCTCCTCACACCCGGGCCGTCCTTGGACCTGGGCAGGGCCATACCCTGCCATGTAGGGGCCCTGTTTCTGGGCAGCCCCGGGCACAAAAGTGAGTAGCAACAGAATCAGACACAGAGGGCCCTGCCCGTGAGGACCAGAGCCTCCGCTCGGCGTCAAAGCGGCAGGTGGAGAGAGCTGTGAGTGGGATGCTGGGCCCAGGACCCCAGAAGAGTATAGGTCAGAGCTGAGGCAGCACCAGAGGCTTGGGGGAGGCTGATCTGCGTGACGGCAGAGGGCCCAGGCCTCAAATATGTCCCCTTTACTGATCCCCTCAGCCCCACCCCATCCCTGAGAACCCCTTCCTCCCCTCTGAGCCATCCGGGCCCACCTCCCCACAGGGGCCCAGCCTGCTGTCCTCTCAGGAGGGGCCAGCAAGCCCCTTGGGCCCACAGGGGCTCCCTGCAGCCCCTGCCTCTCCTCCCTCGGGCCCGGGGGAGGGGGCTGGAGGGGAGAGTGAAGGGTCAGGGACCAGTAAGGGACAGGAGGCATTAATGTGCAGTAGTTCTGGTTAGAGGTCGGGGGAGGGGTACCTCAGTCACCACAGTGAAGCTGAAAAACCTCTTCTGGGAAGGGGAGAGGGAGAGAGGGAAAGAGAGTTTACACAGAGATCAAGGAAGGGGTCCAGGACTCAAGAAGACGGGCTGGAGGTGGCTGTTCCCAGAAGCCCACCGGACCCCGCCACCCCCCGTCCCCACGGCCCGCCCTCACCTTGGCTGCGCTGCGCAGGTGGTCATAGTACACTTCCTCGATGGCCTGGAAGTAGATGACCCCCTTCAGCTTCGTCTCGTGCTTGTCTGCAAAGAAAACAGGGCCGGGTTGAGGAGGCCTGCCGTCCCTCAGGCGAGGCGCCCGCACTGCAAAGGGCAGGTTCCCAGGACTCCAAAACGGAGCCCAGCGCGGAGCCCGAAGAAGTGGTCGGCGCCCAGCCTTGCTCGGAATTAGAGAATGCAAATTACAGCTGCACAGCCATCAGAAGGGCAAACATAGGTGAAAAGGCGACAGCACACTCTGGGCAAGGCTGGAGAAACAGCAGGTCTGATCGACGACAGGCGTGCACAGCCTCAGCCCTACAGGAGGATGGGCCGGGTCTACCGCAATGAGGAAAGTGTTTGCCCCCTGAGCCATCGATCCCACTTACGAACAATTACCTCACAACCAACAAACTTACGGGACTGTTCACCACAACCATGTTCACAGTTTGGAAACAAGCCAAGGGTCCATCAAGTAGAGATTGGTTAATAAATCAGAGTTTAGCACATGATGGGACGCTAGACCTCTGTTAAATGATACAGAAATGGCTCAGTGGGTTTAGCCTCTCCTCTGCCTTCGGCTCAGGTCATGATCTCAGGTCCTGGGATCAAGTCCTGCATGAGGCAAGGGTTCTACAGAGCAGAGGGCAGGACCCCATTCCCGGTAAGGCAGGGCCAGGGAAGCCTTCACAGAGGTTGTATCTGATCTGGACCCCGTGGCAGAGACGGGTTCCACCAAGTCAGTGGGAGGATGGGCCAGGCCAGGGCAGGAAGAACCACAAGCTCAAGGCAGGAGCAGTCAAGTCACACTCAGGGCCCTCATGAGGCCCCAGGCCGGTCTCCATCAGACACTTCTGCTTCAGACAAGGACGCAGCCACACCCCCGCCCCTGGCCATCCCTCCAACAGCGGCTCCTTCCCACCTCTTCCTTCACGGAAAGTCTAAGCTCTGCAGCTCCCCCTTCCTGACCACCCACCGCTCCTCATCTTGTGCAGTCTGGCTCCCGCCCTGGACGCAGCTCCAATCCCTGGAGGGGCCTCTGGGTCCATGTTGTTCTTGGCCTTTCTGCATTGTCCCTCATTGCTGGGGCCACTCCCTGCCTATAAATGTCTGCTCCTTCGGCTGGCTTCCCTCCCCGTTTCCACCCCTCATCAGGACGTGATCTTCCTTCATTTCAAAAACATTCAGGAAGGTCATGACTGCCCAGCACCAGCCCAGCACCTGGCCTGTGGCTTCCCACTTCCTGCCCGACCCCTTTGCCAGTCCCTCCCCCTCCCCCTTCCCCAGCATACAGCCCTTTCCCTCTTCTCTGCTCTGAAGTCCAACCACCCCAGTTCAGTTTTAACTCTGGCGCCTCAGCAGCTGTGAGACCTTGGGCAATTTACTTAACCTCTCTGAACCTATGTTCTGTATCTGTAAATGGGTTTAAAATAGTGCTTCCTGCACAAGACAATGATGAAAAATCAATGAGATGATGCACGTAGAGTGCTTACAGCTCGCGCAGCACTCAGCAGGTATGATCTGCTACAACTATTACTCCAGCACAGTCAACTTTAACCCTGACCTTTCGCCTAAATGGAGATGGCCCAGGGGCACTTCAACCTCAATATGCCTAAAATGGAGCTCTCCCCCCACCCCCACCGCCTCTCTCTATTGCCAACAAAGTCCCTTCCCAGCTCAGGTGGAAACTTGGGGACACATGTGCCTCTGGCCTCTCCTGCCTCCCACACTCAGGGCCCAGGCAATCAGGGAAGGCTTCCTGGAGAGGGTGGCACTTGGTCAGGGACTAGGTTAGACCAGAGGCAGGCACTCTGGGCCTGGGTGTCTCTGCCACCAGACACTTCAGCCCTCTCCTTCCAGGCTCTGAACAGGAGTGCTCTTCCCCGCTTTACGGTTGGGCAGAGCTGGGTGACTGGCTGAGCAGCCCCACTAGCGACCTGAGGACAGACCCCAGCCAGGGCATTTAATGCCCATGCAAGGCACAATTAAGCTTCTCTTTACCCTCTGCCACCGTGGCCAGCAACGTTCTAAAAACGCACGCCATCGAACAAAGGGAACACTGACGCAGAGGGGAGCAGGGCCCCACCGGCCCACAAGGTACACGGACACATATCGGGCAGGAAAGGAAACTGTGGTTTTGAGCCCCTGGGATCTGAGGACTGGCTGTCCCGCAGCGCAGCCTGGCCTCTCTGGGCCCGTGTGCCACACGGCGTCCTGCACTCAACGTGGGAACCGTCCAGACGGGAACCCCAAGGACGTGGAGGGAGCAGGGGGAGCAGGACGTACCAGGGGGCCTGTCCCCAGGGCCATCCCGAGCGCTCCTGGCACCTCTCAGGGGCTCATCAGAGTCTCTTGAGGGAACGTGCCCAGGGCAGAATCCACAGGACTCCACACGCCCACGGAGCCTGCGCGGCGCCTACAGCACGCCCATCCTGCCCAGCCTTCCCAGTCTGGCCACTACCTGCCTCCCTGACAGCAGCTGCAGGGACAGCCGCAGCCACCCGGCTAGTCACCAAGGCCTCCGGCAGGGCCCAGAACTTACTCCACGCTCGGGAATGTCGCCAAATATGTGAACGACCAAGACTGAAGGCAGACCAGGTGCAGCCTGTGCGCCGTCAGCGAGAGGAGGACAGGCCCCGCTCAGGCCCCCCACCCCCCACTGGGAAGCCTGGTGAACACCAGCTGCCCTGGGGGACAGCCCAAGGGTCCAGGCTCCGAGACGTCTGACGGGAACTCACCCACATAATAGGAAAGGGTGCGCTTGAGCCGGTCGAACACAAACCAGCGCTTCTTCCACGATTTAATCTTGCCGCCCATCTTGACCAAGTAGCCGCGGCAGACCTGCCAAGGAGCGGGGGTGAGGAAGGACCCAGAGCGGAGCCCCTGGACCCTCTCTTCCCGGAACGGTACCATAAAAGCCGTCACCTGTGCCTGGATTCTGTGGGGGCTGCAGCCCCCACTGCTTCAGGCCAGCAAGCACGCCCCGGGACGGAGACCTTCAGTGTTAGTGCAGGAACTGGGGCCACTATTCCAAGGGCCCAGGAGGTGCCTAGGCTACAGGGTCCCCTCCCCAGCACCCCGGGGCCCCACAGGCCACACACCTTGCTGCTGAGCACCACGTGCAGACAGGTGTCGACGCCGTGGCCCGAGGACTCGATGTGGGTCTTCAGGTCAAAGTCCTCCTTCCGGATCGGCAGGTAGCGGGTCAGGGGCCGGGCCTGGAAGCAGAGGGCAGTGTCAGCAGTCTTCTCTCTCCCCCATGTCATTGTCTGTCCAGGTCCCTTGGCTTCAGTCCCAAACCCTCACTGCTGCCATCGCGCCTCCCACCCCCGGGGCTACCACTCGGGTTTCACAGCGCTCATGACAAGAGCAGAGACCTAGCAGGCCTGCATCGAGGCAGCCCCGGCCTGGGCAAACTACTGAGTGGCTCCATGCCTCAGTTTCCCCACCTAGGAGCAAGACACAGCCGTCCCTGCCTTCTCCCTGCCCCCCGTCTCCCTCCTGGGCTGAGCAGAATAAAGCAAGAGGCCTGAGGTGGGCACGCTCTGGGAAGGAAAGCCCAACAAGCCATCTGGCCTCAGACTGCTCATGGGACCTTGTTTGGATCATGCGGCCTCTCTGGGCCTCCCTCTTCCTTAAAAGTAACACAAGAGCTTTGAACTAGATAATCACTAAGGTCTGTTCCATCTCAAAAGTTCTGATACCAGGGGCACCTGGGTGGCTCAGTAGGTTAAGCCTCTGCCTTCGGCTCAGGTCATGATCTCAGGGTCCTGGGATCGAGCCCCGCATCAGGCTCTCTGCTCAGCAGGGAGCCTGCTTCCCTTCCTCTCTCTCTGCCTGCCTCTCTGCCTACTTGTGATCTCTCTCAAATAAATAAATTTTTAAAAAAATTCTGATACCAACTAGACCCCTCAGTCCACTGGAATTTTTTTTCCTACTCTTCCTCTATATTAGAAAGGCCAGAAAAGGAAACACCATAAATTATTTAGAGAAAAAACAAAATGCACAGCTTCCAGGAGGTGCCCCCGAAGACAGGCGGCTGCACCCACTCCCACAGCAGACACCGCTGTCCCTGGAGCAATGTCTGAGCCCCACGGCAGGGGGCGAGGGGAGACAGACATGAAGCGGCCAATGAAGAGGCCGGAAAGGGGAACTGGACGCCTGACAGAGATCCCAAGCATGGAGGGAAAACTCAAGAGTTTCTGATTATTTCATCTGTATTTTTTTTGAAAGAGAGAGAGGGAGTGTGAGGGGGCAGGGGCAGAGGGAGAGCCCCAAGCCAGCTCCACACCCAGCACGGAGCCCAATGTGGGGCTCGATCTCATGACCCCGAGATCATGACCTGAGCTGAAACTGAGAGTCAGACGCTTAACTGACGGAGCCACCCAGGCACCCCCTGGTTATTTCTTAATTCCCAAACCCAATCCAGGTGGCCTACCCCCTTAGAATTCATGTTGTTGCCTCACAGGACGTCAGGGAGCTGGGTTCGCTGGTCGCTGCTGGGGCAGATCCCACCGGACCCCCCACCCTGGAGCGGAGCTTGTAAGACCCAGCAGGAAGGACTAGCCTGTCTGAGTCCCACAGGCTCTCACAGTCGGGAGCCAGGATCTGAGACCAGAGACAGCATAGATCTCCCTATACAACCCAACTTCTCCTTCCGCCTTCAACCGTTCTACTCAAACCTTCTGCGTAAAGGAAAAGCTCAGGATGCCCGTCCCAGAACGAATACAGTTCTCTCCCGGAGAGGCAAACCGGAAGTCAGGGTGACACCATCTGCTGGGAGCGGGGGCGCCTGGAGCTGCCGAGTCTGGGGCAGCGAGGGCCAGGACAGCCACGAGATACAGACACGCACACACACACACGCAGGTCTCTGCTCCTGCGGGCTGAACGGGTCTCAAACAGAATTCTGCTCGTACGGAGCCAACAGCAATCTTTTCTGGAGGACAAGCTGCATGACCCCGCAGGACCAGCCCGGGCATCCCCAGCCCTCCACAGCCCCACCCTCAAGCCAACCACCCAGCGCACCCCAGCGCCCACGCACCTGGGAAAACTGTTTCTCCCGCATCTTGACCTCCTTCTCCACCAGCTGCTGCCTCCTGGCGCTCTCGCTCTGCAGCCTCCGTTCCACCTGCTCACGCCGCCTCCGCTCCTCCTCGAGGGCCTGCCTCCGGAGCTCCATCTCCCGCTCCTGCCCCCAAAGCCAGGGGTCAGTGCCCACGGCTGCCCTCTCCCGCCCCTTCCCCCGCTGCCCCTCCTCAGGCTGGGGCAGAGCCACAGGCAGCACCCACCTCAGGGGGCAGCCCGCCACCAGAGAGCATCACCCCCAAAACCCACCCTCTGCAGGCACCTTGCCAGTCAGGTCAAATGCTTTGATTTGAAACCTCCTGGCTTTGCGGGGTGCCTGGGTGGCTCAGTGGATTAAGCCTCTGCCTTCGGCTCAGGTCATGATCTCAGGGTCCTGGGATCGAGCCCCGCGTCGGGCTCTCTGCTCGGCGGGGAGCCTGCTTTCCCCCTCTCTCTGCCTGCCTGTCTGCCTACTTGTGATCTTTCTCTGTGTCAAGTAAGTAAATAAACAAAATCTTTACCAAAAAAAAAAAAAGAGAGAGAGAAAGAAACCTTCTGGCTTCAGATTCAGATCTGCTGCCAGGATGAGCTCTGCAAGCCTGACAAAACCACTTAAACCCCCTCGCCCTCTGCTGTCTCATCTGTAAAATGGGGCCGAGCACACCTCCCTTCAGGGATTAGAGTGACACTTAAACCAGGTCATGTAGCTAAACGCCCATCACAGATGCCAGCAGCACAGAAGCGCCGGATAAACGGGGTTCGTCACGCTTTACCTGAGCTCCTAGCACACACGCCGCCTGACTTTCCCTAATACTGAGTATGTTCCATAGTCCCTCCCGAACCACTAAGGCCCTTTGAAAGCAAAATACAAACATTCCTAGTTGAACGTTGAAATTTCTGGGGAAAAAAGACACAAACTTACAGAAGCCATTCTTAAAAGGGTTTAAAAGTCATTAGAACAAATCCTCAAACACAGAGCCTGTCTGTGGCGTGCTGTGTCCTCAATAACACTGACGACCTTAGCACCATCCGCTCCTGGCTGCCATTTCTCCCCAGCCCCAAACTGACCAGAGTCTCCTTTCTCTCCGTCTGCCAAGCTGCTTGCAAATGTGCCCTCCTTCGATGGGAGTACCACTGAGAGGCCTTCTTTTCTGGCTGGCCTAGCGGAGGCCTCCTGCCCCCAGCCCCACTCACCCCTCCAGAGACGCAGAGCGCCCAGCGGGTGAAGACAGAACAGCCTCTGCAGAGACCCCACAACCCCCTTCCGCAGGCCCGGGCCCCTCAGCCTGGCTGTGCCTGGGACACCGCTCTGGTCCCACCTGTAGGCCTGCGGGCAGGAGCCACGGCCTCGCTCTGCCCCACCCCCACCCCTCACACTCCCCGCAGACCCTCCACCAACACCCCTGCTCTGGCCTGGACACCTGCCTGCTCTTCTAGTCCGACCCCTCAGGCTCCCACTCCCACCTTTCCTGCCCCCGGGGGAGACCAGAATCAGTTCCCGTGGTGGCCAAAACACCCCCGAGCCAAACACACAGGGGCCGGAAGCTGCTGTCCGGGACATGCCTGGCAGTGACCATGCTGCTACCCCTTGTCCTGAGAGCGGGGACACCTGCCATGTGGCCAGGCTTCCTCCACTTGAGGAACATGAACTTTTAAACCCTTTCTCCCTCAAGGGAAGGTCTCGAGGCGCTGGGGGCAGAGAGGCTGGGGTCGCCGGAGCGGGTCCGCCTCACCCTGGACTCCATGAGCCGGCTCTTCTCGGCGTGCGCCTCCTTCAGCATCTTCTCCATCTCCTCGATCTTGGCCACGTCCAGGCCGCTGGCGCTGGAGGGAGAGGGAGAGCAGGGCATCAGGAGGCTGGAGGCGGCTGGCAGAGGCGGGGCCGGCCCCCCGGGGGCAGGTACCTGGACATGGTGTCGGGCGAGCAGGCAGAGTTGCCACCCGTGGAGATGCTGGTCTCCATGCTGTCCGAGCTCTCCAGGCTCAGCGTGTCGTACGCGTGCTCGCCGTCCTCCCCGCGCTCCCGGCCAGCCGGCAGGTGGTGCAGGATGGAGTGGTGCATGAGCGGGGGGAAGCCGGAGGGGCCCGGCGGGAAGGGGGCCGCCCCGTGCAGGGCATCCCACTGGCACTGGGCCTCGGCCGCCGCCTTCTGCTTCAGCTCTGCCAGGCGCCGCCGCTGCTCCTCAATCACCTGCTGTCCTGCGGAGGGGGTAGGGGGGCGGTGTCACAGCGGGCCCTCTGGGGGACAAGGGCAGCATCACAGAGGGACGAGGTGAGCCCAGCCCTCGGCCCCCACCAGCTTCCCTAAAGCCCCGCCAGCACTGCGGTCGCCTGCACGACTGGACACGGCCACGTCGTGTGGCTTCAGCGCTCCTTCTGCATCCTGGGCCCAGCGGGGCACAGACCCTGCCCGGGCGGTGCCTCCAGCTCACCATCATCACCTGGAGAGCAGGGCAGGACGCATGCACCACCCGCCTGCTGGGGAGGGGAAGGGGCGGGGGGCGAGGTCCGTGAGCAGGGTGTCCATGCAGCGCCCGCAGTGACGCACAAGCAAGAGCGACACCAGCAGCGAAGAAGAGGAGACGAGGCAGAGCACAACTGAGGCAGGGGACAGTCCAGCTCAAGGGGTGCGGCCAGCCAGACACCCCATCCCAGCTCAGCCGGGGAGGCCACAGGGGGCCGGGGCGGGGCAGCAAGGACCTGCGCGGGACACTTCATGCAGATGCCCAGGTGGGGCCGCCTGACCAAAGCAATGCCCCCAGTGACCACCGCTCTACCTGCTGGGCTGTCGGCTGGGGGGGGCTCGGCAGGAAGCGACTCGCCTGGTGTGGGGGCCCCGGGCAAAGGGTAGGGTAGAGAGACACAGAGGGGATGAGACGAGGGAGAGGCACAGACATGGGCTTTCAGAACAATCAAGATGCACACAGGCAACCAGGCCTCCTGGGTCCCCAGAGCTGGTATCTCAGAGAACCAGCTCTGGAGGCCATCGGGTACCCCACCCCCATCTCCAGACAGGGTGACGTCCATCCCAGCTCAGGCCGACAAGCATCTCCCTTCTTTGCTGAGCTCTCTGGGAAGGTCTGTACGGCTCCCAGCCCTCAGTCTCTTGATAAATGTCCAGGAAGCTCTTCAGATACTCAATCTAAACGTTTCCTGCGCTTGCCTACAACTCCATTAAAGCAAAGAAACACCGTGGCAAGTGTGGTGTAGGGGGCTCGGGGCAGATATCCAGGGCGCCTGGGAAAGCAGCCACTCACCCTTCTGCTGCAGGGCAAGCTGGCGCTTGGTCTCAATGTCCTGCAGCGTGGCCGCCAGGTTTCGAGGAAGGCTGCCTGTCCCATTCTGGGCGAGTAGAACACTCTGGGGGTGGGGGAACGGAGCACTGGGACCCGGCTCTCGGAAGACCCCACCTCCCAAAGCTTTCCTGGGTGGCCTTGACCTCTCCCCCATAGCATACCCTCCCCTCCCTACCCCCGCCATGCCACACAAGGAGCCCACCCAATGTCCTCAGACCTTTGGAGAGGGGCTCCGGCCCAGGGTAGCCACGCTGAGCTGGGAGGAAGAGGAAGAAGAGCCAGAGGAAGAGGGGAGGGGGCCACTGCGGGTCCGGGGCAAGGGGCTGGTGGCCTCACCATCCATCTTGGAGCGGTAAACCTGGAGGGAAGAGATCCTGCCTGGTCAGCTCTGGCTTGCCCACCGGCTGCCAACCCCATGTCACCTAGGCCAGCTGTGATCCAGGTCCTGCCCTGGCACCAGGACTCCCAGGCTGTTTCAACAGACAACGGCATCGAGCTTCTTGGGCCAGCCCAACGGACAGGTGCAACAGGTGGGACAGGTGTTATAGGCAGCCGCCAATCCCCGGCCCCACCCCAGGTCTGAGAGAAGATCCTTGGGAGGAGGCATTCACATCTGTTGGGCAGGGCTGTGCTGGAGACCAACAGCAGGTCAGGCTTCCTTCAGGTCCGGCCTGGCTGCTAGTAGGCTCTGTGACCTTGGGCTGTGTACCTCCCAGCTCTGGGCCCTGGCTTCCTTATCTGCAAAAGGAGGGAGTGGCACTAGCCAAAGGAACTGCCCAGCTCCCTCCCAGCCTTCACGCCGGCTGAATACGGGGTCTGGAGGCACGAACCCCGACTCCCAGCACCAGCTCTGCCACTTTCTAGTCGTGGGGCCTTGGGGGGATGATGACTTCTCCAAGCCCCAGTGTTGGCTCTGTAAAAGCAGAGAGTGAACTGCTGATGGTCACATGAATCAAAACACATACAAATCTTGGGGTTCCTGGGGGGCTCAGTCGGTTGAGCGTCTGCCTTCGGCTCAGGTCATGATCCTGGGGTCCTGGGATCGAGTCCGCATAGGGCTCCCTGCTCAGTGGGGCGCCTGTTTCTCCCTCTGCCTGCCTCTCCCCTCTGCTCATGCTCTCTCTCTCAAATAAATAAAATCTTTAAAAAAACAAACTTCTAACCAGCTGGACATGAAGTACAGCTGCCCCACACGCTAGAAGAATCCAACTCCTCCTAAAGGGAACATGAAACTCGAGATGAGGCCACAAAGAGTGCAGTGCCTGCACCCCAGGAGGGAATCTTGAGCGCTGGGGTCCTGGGCACAACCACAGGTCAGCGCCCTGACCCCTTCCCCACCCACAGTCAGCAGCTGGCCACAGGCAGGCCCATGCCCTGCACAGAGATGCTGAGGAGGCCCAGGCACGTCCTCAGGGCTGTCACTTCATTCTCTGCCCCACCAGTACTGCCCCTGCCTGTCACCCATGGGGAGACCCAGAGAGCAAAATGCCGACCACACTAGTTCCAGCTGCAAGAGGCCCAAGAGGGCGTCAGGCCCCCCAGACCGAGTGAGAGACTCCTGGCCTGAGGGCAGCCGGGGACAGCAGAGCCACAGTCTGCCCTAGCACGAGGCACCAGAGCCATCCCAACCTGACCGCTGCTCCTGAAGGTCCTTCTGCTGGACTGGCAATCCTGCATCTCGTCCGTGGACTCACAGGCTGGCCCTCCAGCTGCCCAAAGGGCTGGGACGGCTGCCCGTGAGGCAATGTCAGGGCCCAGAAGCCCCTTGCTGCCCTGACTTGACTGACCACCACCTCCCCACCCCATCTGAGGTGGCGCTGTGTGGCCGCTGGACCAGCAGGAGGTACCCAGAGCAGAGGGAAGCAGGGCTCGGAGAGAGGGGGTTACCTGCAGCTGCCGGGAAGCTTTGGCGGGCAGAGGCGGGGGAGAGGAGCGCGGGGAGGCTGCAGCGGGGCCGGTCCCCAGCCCGGCCATCAGCTCCTGGTACCACTGCTCTAAGTCTACAGCAGGGGGCAGCAGCTCCTCCATCGGGGGGGGGGGGCGGGGGGGGGGGGGGGGGGGCGTGGAGAACAGGCGAGGAGGGGAAGGGAGGGGAAGGTTGGAGGAAGAGTAAAGGCAGGCCACAATGGGAGGGGGGACAGGAAGGTGAGGAATAAGGGAAGGGAGGAAGGGAGGAAGGACAGCGTAAAGAGAAGGAGGAGAAAAACAGTGAGAGAACAGTTGCTGTCAACACGCCGAGGGCAAAGAGGAACAGTCAGGACACAACTCCCAGACGAGACTCGTGCTATGCCAACCACGATGCCAGCCAGCAGCGCCCACCGGCACGGAGCTCTCCCGGGGGCTGGCCTGGAGCTCAAAGCTGGGAAGCAGGGGTGGGACACAGACACACTCACACTCACACACAGCCACACCAGCAGCGCGCTGGGCACGGCAGGAACACACAGACCACCAACCTTGGGTGAAGGCGTGAGAGAAGCGGAGGAGGAAGAGGGCAGCACGGGAGGAAGGCAGGTGGTGGGAACCAGGTCCCGGGAGGCAGAGGCCCAGAAAGGCAGGCCTGGCGCAGGGGCTGTGGGCACGGACGAGGAGCCCCACATCGCCTTTAGCTGCTCAAGCGTCACGTACTTGGGGGCAGGCCAGGATGCGGGAGGGAATAGGAGAGGTTAATGGAACTGCGACCCAAGCGCCAGCCCTGCCCATGGGCAAGGGAAGGTAATCACAGGAAGCACACAGCGGCAGAGGCGCTCCGAGCCCCGCAAGGCGAGTCCTCTCAGTTGGCCTGCCCGGCTTTGAGCCACCAGGAGTTGATGCTCCCGAGGCCCCTGGGAAGGGAGGAAACCACTCCCAACCCCCGTATGCCAGCGGCCCTTCTCCCTCACTGTTGAAGAGACCCTGTTCTCCCCCAAGCCCCACCCAGGCCGGAGGCACCATCTGGGCACCCACGAGGAGGCACCGGTGGGCTCCCTCCGTGGCTGGTACCTCACTGTCAGGCAGGGGCTGGGCGAGTGCGCCGGGGGAGGCGGCAGAAGCATGGGGGTCCAAGCGGAAGCACAGCTGGAGAACCTCTGCCAGGCTCACATACTCCTAGGGGGCCCGGTGGGCGGGGGAGGGATGGGCAGAGAAGAGGTTAACAGGGTACAACCAGGTACCCAGCACCCAAACTCCATGCCTTAGGGCCATCATTCCAGTCAATGCAAGATCCAGAGCAGGGGCGGGGAGCTCAGTGGCCCACTGTGCCTGGAGACAGCTGTGGCCGGGCGGGGGACCAGAAAAGGGCAGGGAGAATGGTCTGAAAGCTCTTCTTGACCTCTACCTTTTGAAGCTGCCTTGGCATCCAGGCCCTGCCCCAGGCAGACCCTGAAGGCCCACCCCTGGGTTTGGTCTGGGCTGGGGACAAGAGAAGCCAAGAGGCCTTCCAAGAGTCCACTGAGGATCAGGACCCAGCCCCCAGACAAGCCTTCTGTCTCTGACACCCTGGGCATCCCCCGTGGGGCACGCACACACACACAGCATGGACACGGCCACCACTCCCAAGCATCTCCTCGCACCCCATCTGCTGGGGCAGGAGCTGGAAGGGGAGGGATGGAGACACCACTAGGGGGTGAGCTAGATGGGCTCTGAGAGAGAGACCTTAGCAGGGAACAGCTCAAAGCCCAAGAAGAAACATGGGCTCAGTGCCCATGGGTTAGTTCTTGGAGAGATACTAGCACGTGAGCTTGTGGGGCGGGAGGTCAGGGCCTGGCACCTGAGCAGGTCCTCAGCCCCTGGGGCTCCTCTAGGTGCTGCGAGCATGGCAGGCAACCAGAACGCATGCGGAGTGCACGGGAGGCTGAGCCTGCCCTACCCAGAGGGATCCCCAGCCTGGCCTCGCTCCTGAGGGCAACTGTCCTCCAAGGGTCAGGGAAAAGGAAAATGAGCTGGGGGGTCCAGTGGGTTGTGAGAACTGATGAATGGCATGCAGAAGGCATGCAAATTAATACGCAAATCGGTGCTCTGCTTTTGCATGGGCTTCCCAGGCCCCCTCCAGAAGAGTGGGATGGCACACTCGCTCAGACTCTCACAAGCTCTGGCCAGAGGGTAATGGCCACACGCCCCGCAGCCGGGCCCGCGGGAGAAGTTGTGGCAGGAGCTCGGCAAGCAGGCAGGCAGGCAGTGGGCACGGCAGAGCAGGCAGTCAGCTGTGATTACCTCTTGTGCTCTGGGGCAGAGCTGAATGGAAGCAGGTGGGGTTAGGGGGACAGAGGAGGCCGCAGGCTCTGACGACCCTGGGAAAGGGACCAGAGTCGCAGACCCAGGCCCCATCTCTGAGGCCTCGGAGATGAGCAGTTCAGCCTACAGAGAGGGTACGTGGTGAGGGCCTCTCCCCTCACACAGCCCAGCTCCCCGCCCCGGGCCTCGGTAGCTCATGCAGGGAGGTGGGGAAAAGAGCTTGGGAACTGGGGCATGTCCTCATTGGCCCTTACACCCTAAGCGTGCAAGGCCTCAGGAAAGAACGGCTTAAGGGATGTCAGTGCCCACTTCTCGGCCAAGAGCCCAGCTCTAGACTGAAGCCCAAGGAGCACCCAGCTCAGGCCCCCTAGAGTCCTGTGCTCCCCATCAAGGGGAGTCTGCCCAGCCCCCGCCCTTACCAAACCTGAGGGCTGCCCAGCCTCCCCAGTCAGGCTGCCTGACTCCTCCAGGTGTATTTAATCCCCCAAATGGTAGTATCAGGAAGGTATCTGAAAAGCAGCAGCTGGTAGCCACAGAGGGTCAAATCCCAAAAGTCAGGGCCACTCCCACTCAACCTCTCCAGTCTGCGAAAATGTCCCCATACTCAACCCAAGGGCGAAGGTGCCCCCCTGTGGCTCCAGAGCCTCCCGAGAGACCCACTGGGCCTGAAGCTAGGGCTGAGCCCAGCTCGTTACCTCTTTGAGAGTGGACGTGGTCTTCGGGAAGGGCCTGCCTCCTGTGAGCGAGTGGTATCTCCCCTCCAACACAGTCAGTCTTTCCTTCTCCTGCAAACCCCAATGGGCAGAGTCAGCACGGGGTGGGAGGGTACAGCGGGTGGGGAGGGGGAAGGCCAAGGAAGGGGGTCCCGCTTGGCCAGCAAAGTGTCCCCCCACGGCCCCTCCACACCCATCCCCCACATCCACCCCAGCCCTGACCCCCCACCCCGCCACCCTGACCGGGGTACCTTCTGTAGCAGCTGCAGGGAGGCGTTCTTGTCCCGCGCCAGGCGCTCGGACTCCTGCACGGCCTGGGCCCGGATCTGGCCCGCCTGGTTGTCCAGGACTGCCAGACGCTCCTAGAGGACAGGGGAGTGGTCGGTCGGGCCTGGGCGACCACAGGGTTGAGCCCACGGGCAGACCCACGGCTTGGGTGGAGGGCACCAACCAGCTCTTGCCCTCGGCTTCAACTCACCCCGGGGAAAAGTGGCAACTACAGTCAACTCCTCCCCTCAGCCCTGCCTCAACCAGTGCCACCTGTGCCATCGGGCTCACCCGCTAGAAGCCGAGTCCCCAGACGCCCCCGCCCTGCCATCAACAAGTCCAAAACCCAGGGCATACTGAAGAGGTCCCCACCAGCCCTCACGCCCACGGCCACCCCCCAAGTCAGCTGCCTCCCCGGCTGTGACCTCTTCACCAGCCTCCTGCTCCCAGTCTCGTGACTGTCTGGTGCACCCCCCACCCCCCACTGCCACAAACACCTTCTTAAAATGGCTTTGGAGCTTTGTTTTTGTTTGCTTCTCTAAATTTTCCAACGCTTCTAAAAACATATACGTATTACTTGAATTTTTTTTTTAAATCCACACATATGGTTAGGTCACTCCTCTCCCCAAAATCTTTTGAGTGACTCCTCATTACTCACAGGCCAGAGCAGGGACTCCGAAGCCGGCATTTGAGGGCTCCCGGAACGGGGCCTACACTCTTCAGCCCCTGAGTCCCCCCAGCCTGGCCGTGGGGTACAGTAAGCTGTGCAGCTGCATGCTCTCAGGCCTTCCTAACACCGCCCCACTCAGTGCGGCAGAGCAGCCCCGACTTTCCACCCTCAGAGCTCGCTTAGCTTCCAAGGCCAGCTGAGCGCTACCTTCTCTCCCAACACCTTCCTCATCACCACTCAATTTCTCGGCTCCTCCTTCTGTGCTCAGATGACTCTGTAGCGCCCTCTGCCTCATACTACTGGTACTTGTCAACACGTGTCTCCATCACCACCCTGCCCCCTGCTGTCTGATCCAAGGGCAGGGTCACTGTCCCCATATCCCCAGCAGGGCTTAGCCCAGTGCTAAAAGGAAACAAAAAGAGGATATCGTGAGAGAGTAGGATGGGGGGTGGAAAAAAGGGGCTGAGTTAATCCCAGGAGGGCTTCCTGAAAGAAGTGGCCTTAAACCAACACCATTAAGAGTTAAAACCTGGGGGCTCCTGGGTGCCTCAGTGAGTTAAGGCCTCTGCCTTGGGCTCGGGTCATGATCCCAGAGTCCTAGGATGGAGCCCTGCGTTGGGCTCTCTGCTCAGCGGGGAGCCTGCTTCCTCCTCCTGTCTCTCTCTGCCTGCCTCTCTGCCTACTTGTGATCTCTCTGTCAAATAAATAAAATCTTAAAAAAAATTTTTTTTAATTAAAAAAAAAAAAGAGTCAAAATCTGAATGAGGAGGGAGGGTAGAAGGGAGCTGCCCCAGAATTGGGGTCAGCCCAGGGGGTAATCCCCACAGCAAGATCTGTTGTTTACTGAGAAACTGTTAGTACCCAAGAACTCCGCATTTTGTTACCTCATTTAATCCTCTTTTGAGGCAGGTTCCTTTATGCCCATCTTACAATTAAGAACACTGACATAGGGGCACCTGAGTGGTTCAGATGGTTAAGCATCTGACTTCGTGTCAGGTCATGATCTCAGGGTCCTGGCACCAAGCCCCGCATCGGGCTCTCTGTTCAGTGGGGAGTCTGCTTTCCCCTCTCCCTCTACCCCTCCCCCCACTTGTGCACACACGTGCCCACACTCTCTCAAATAAATAAATAAAATCTCTCTAAAAAAAAAAAAAAAGAACACTGATATATTTAGGAGCTAATGAGTGCTAGAGCTGGGAAGAGACCGAATCTAGCTGGGACTCCAAAACCAGTCCTCTGAACCACTCTGCCTCACAGCAGAGATGACAGGGGAGCACCTGACGCCAGGACAGACGGAGTCTGGCATGGGTGGGACACTGGGAGCTGAGGGAGGAGGGGAGGCTGAGTAGGTCAAGAGAAGGCAAAGGGAAGAATGTGACCCCCAGAGTTTCAGTGGCTGAGCTTGGTTCCCAGAAGCCAACATGGGCATGAGGAGGAGAGAACAGGGGTCCAGTCCCACTGACCCCTCCCAAAGTCCCTGGAGCTTTCACCCACCAGGACCTCAAAGGGATGGGATGAGATGATCTAGGGCTCCCTGCTGCATCCTCTCCGAAGGGAAGAGGAAGAGGCTGGGGGAGAGCCAGCCCCTGGTCCCAGGGCAGTACAGCATAAGGAAGAGAGATTTCCAGGCCAGGCAGGTCTGGGATGCTGACTCTGAAGCTTATAAGCTGAGGTGTGGGGCAGACATGGGGCTTCTTGGAGCCCTTGTTTCCTTGTCTATGAAACGAGGATAAGAGCACTGGCCTGTGAGACCATGAGGTTGGCATAAGCTAACCCAAGAAAGCCTCCTGGCACACACCCTCGTGCTCGGGAAATGCTCGCTTCCTTCCTTCCTTCCATCTGTCTCACATCCAGAAGCAGATGCATTTGGAAGGCAGAGAAACTCAGGGAGAGGGGCAAGGGATCCGGGCGCAGGGGGAGGTCCAGGAGCTCCCCACATACCACCAGGCTCAGGCTAGCCCTCAAGACGCCAGCCACCACTTTTCGACACCCCTCCCCTGATCTCCCTGCCCTCCCCTCCCACCCACTCACTTCAGCTGTCTCGGCCGCAGGCATGTGAGCTGCTAACCATCCTCCCTATTCTCCTCCCTGATTTAACAGCTTCCTCCTCCCGAATGTATTACACACACACACACACACACACACACACAAACACACACCCCTGCCCCATCACCCTGCTCTGGTCTGGCTGAGAGCAGGAGCAGAGGATCACCGCCTCTGGAGCTCCAGAACCCGTGAGGACCCCATCCACAATCCCCTTGCTCTCTGGCTCAGCAGAGCTAAGGCTGAGCCACAGCTGGAACCTAGGGGATACGCTTCCTAGAACCCCTGGCTGGGTCAGCGTCCAGATCCCAGGTCCTTGTATGTTTCCCAGCACGCCCACCAGACAGAGAGACCTGCAAGGGCAGCAGCAAGCCTCCCGCTAGCCTCCTCCTCCCCCGTCTGAACCTCTCATTTCTCTGCCCAGCCAGGGCCAGCTCCGAGCGGGAGCCCCGTCCACTCTCCACTGGGAGCCCACAGTCGCTGACCAGCTGCTGTTGCCCACCCTGCCCGCTACCCTCAGAGCCCGTGCTGTCCCCACACCCTGCCCTGCTGCATTCTCTCCCCAGCCTGTTGTTTTGCAGAGAGGGAAACTGAGGCTCAGAAAGGTAAAGTTAGCTTTTACGGGGGATCATCAGCTGGGATCCAGTTCTTTGGCCTCCAACCACCTGGCCCTAAGGTGTCCCTCCCCCCCAGGGGATGGAGCGGGACACACCTTCCTCTTGGTGATGCTGCGGAGAAGCTCGGCCTGGCTCCTGAGCAGCCCCTGGCCCGCCAGCTCCCGCTCCTCCTCCACTCGGCTCTCCCGCTCCAGCTGCTGGAACTCCAAGTCCTCAAACAGCTTTGTCTCTGTCTCCAGGGCCTCGGCCTCCTTGAACGACAGTGACAGAGGGGGTCAGGTGGTGCTCAGGATACGGCTCCAGGCCTGGAAGGCCAGGCCACAGAGGTGGGAGCTCTGAGGGCTGGCCCCAGGGAAATCCGGGGAAGGGACCTGCCCCCCGACCCACCCAACTCCCTTTCCTCTGCTTGGCTCTGCCCCTTGCTGGGGGCCTCAGCGCCTGGAATAGCAGAAAGGAGAGAAGCACTCCCCCCATCCTGTCCTGTCCCCTCCAAGCCACAGCACCGACCCTGGTGTCCGGCAGGTACTGCAGGGCCCAGGTGGTCCCGTCCCACCGCTCTCCTCTCTTCTGGGTGGGTGGCCCTCGGGGGCCAGGGAAGGGGGGCTGGTGAAACTGACCCTTCTCAGCTGCTCCTGTAACTGTTCCCGCACTGACTCGGGGCAGTTATCGACCTGCGTCTGGAGCTCGGCGTAGAGCGCCTGGCGGGCCTCCAGGTGCCTCCGTCCCGCGGCCAGCCCCGCCCTCTCCTGGTCGGCGGGAGGGGGGGGGAGGGCGGGCACAGGGGAGAAACAGAACACACACTCCTCAACTCCGGCCCGCGGGCTGTGCTGCCGTGCAGGGTGCGGGGTGCGGCTGGGGCGGGAGAGAGAGAGCCAGCAGGGAGAGGGTGGGGGAGGGGGAAGAAGCCAAGGAGGAGCAGAGGAGGATAAGCCAGAGGAAAGAGGAAGAGAGGGGGGAAGGCGCGTGGAAGAGGTGATGAGCGGGAGAGGCCAGGAGCTGCTGTGGGAGACAGGACACTCGCAGGTGCTCGGGCCGCGTGAGACAGCCAGAGGAGCAGGTCTCGGGCAGAAATTTTGGTCTCTTGGAGTCCCCTGGACTAAAAACTGTTTGGGGGGGGTCTGAAGAAAAGCCCTCTGTTTTCTCTCCAAACCCGTCACAAACACCCAGCCTCTGGCTGCTGTTTCTCCCCCTGCCGCCGCCTGGAGACCAAAATTTCACCCTGGGGCAAAGGGTAGAGCCGGTGAGGGTTAAGTCGTGACTCACAGTGGGAGATGTTAAAGCTTGGGGCAATGCAGGGCAGCAGGGACCCCAGCCCAACTCCCTGGGCCTCCCTCCCTCCTGCCCAAGGTGGAGGTGGGGGGCTGGGGCACTGCAGGCTGAACTCCAGCGGGATGAGGGTTGCAATTAGTTCGGCCGTTGCCGTGGCAACAGGAGCCCCAGGAGTGGGTACAGAGAGGAGGTACATAGCTCTGTCTGGGGCGAGATGACACCTCTGAGGGCGGGAAGGGGGACGAGGGGTGGATCTGGTGAGTCACCCCTCCGAAGGACAGGCAGAGGAGAAACTATGATTACTGATTCCAAAACCAGAGTGGGGCCATGGGCTGGGGAGGAAAGCCGAGTGAACCTTCCCCACGGCCACTTCCTCCTCCCCCTGCCCCCCACCACCACCTCAAATAACTGGGCCCAGGAAGAAGGCAAAGTCCTAGACTCCAGGCAATGCCAGATCAGTGAGACATAAAGTTAGGCAGCTTCCCTCGGAAATGCTGAGCTTGCTTGAAGTAAGTCCCTCTGTGGGATCCTGCCCCGCCCTCCCAACCCACCCACCCACCCCCCATCTAGGGAGAGGAGGACCCAATCAGCCCAGTTCCTGGGGTCCAAGCAATTCCCCCTCCTTGGACTCAGCCTTTACAACACCCTATGTTCCAGAGGGCTCAGGGGTGGGAGAAGGGGAGAGGCCTACCCGTTCCTTCCCTCTGGCTGGGGTATTTCAATTTGGGAAACCCGAGTGGGGGAAGCTAGGAAGGGCAGCCACAGTGTGGCGCAGGGAACCTGTCCAAGCCCTCCACGGGCCACGTTACCCCAGCTGCACCTCCAGACCCTCGGCTGCTCCGGAAGGAAGAGAGGGAAGGGAGGCGGATGGCTGGCAGACAGCCAGCTTCTCCCTGCTGTGTAGGAAACCACCCACAGTCTATGGAGGCAGTGCCCAGGGGCTCTTCCAAAGGGGGGCACTCTTCAGGCTGAGGAGCTCTCAGCCAGGCATTTCCCCCAAGCTTTACCCCTCCTGCCAATGCACCACCAAGTAAAGTTGAGCTGTGCCCCTGTCCATTCCTTTCTGATCAAAACCCTGGAGTCCCACACCAAGAAAGGAAGGAGGCAGAATTAGATGGGGAGAGGTCAAGGGCACAGCGGTGCCCCTGGAGTTAGTACAAAAGCAGGCGTGGCTCAGCCCTGCCTGGGTGGCACTGGCAGTTAGGGGCATGCGGAGAACCCAGGACAGTGATTAGAGGGGGCGTTAGTGCAGGCCTGCTTGGTAAGCATGGAGTTAATTTTGGCACAGAATTTGGGAGTGTGGTTTTGGGGGCCAGAACCAAAGCTCCAAAAAAAAAAAGAAAATGGGGGAGGGGGCAGTGTCAAAGAATTTTTAAGACTCTCAAAACTGGGAGAGGAGGAAGATGCTCTCAAAAAATTCAAAAGGAAAATTAATTCTTGGAAAAAATACTGTCCAGTCCAGAAAGAGGTGACCCCTCTCCACACTCTAGCTTCTGGCACGTGGTTGGGCATCTGGGGCCTGGCGGCAGGGCTGCTATGGGATGGAGCGCCCCCTGCAGGCTGGCACAGACTCTGACGGGGCAGGGGCGGGAGCTGGGACCACCTGGGACAGGAGGCTGCAGATCCTGAAGGCTCCGGGGAAGCAGAGACGTGAGGGCCATTTCCCAGAGATCACATCCTGAGCACCCAAGGCATGCCCGAAGGGAAACGTTCTCTTGATGGAGGGACCCCATCCAGAACCACTTCCCAGCACCAGTCCCTCAGGCTGTGCTCACTGCCCCAGAAGTGGCTTTGGCACTGCCTAGAAGGGCCATGAAGGACCGCGAATGGCAGGCGCCCAGAGGTAGCACAGAGACCCAGACAGAGGGGATCCCAGACCCCAGCCCAGCCCCTGACAGTGCCCTTCAAGCTGGTACCTTCCACAGAAGACAAGGCCCCCTGCCCTGGGCAACACAGGGACCACCAGGTCTCCAGAATGGCTGATGAGGGAAGGGGTAGGAGGCCTAGAGGAGGCACTGCCCCACTCCCAGGCTGCCGGGAGCCAGCCCTGGGCCAGGCCAGCTGTGCGTTACCTTGTCCCTCTCCTTCTGGATGCCGGTCTCCAATGTCACCAACTTCTCCTGCAGCTGGTCCATTGCCTTCTGCTCCTTCTGCAGCAGTGTCCGCTCTGCCTCCCTCTCCCCCTGCAGCAATGCTCGCTCCATTTCGGCCTGGGGGCGACACCGAGGTCCCCGGCAAGGCCCGTCAGGGCGGGTGGACTCGGACCACTCCGGAGGCCTTCATGCTGCTCAGGGAGGAGCACGGCCCGGGCCCTCCTGGCTCACCTCTCGGGCTGACTCCTGCAGCTGCTGCTCCAGCTCCTTCACTCGGACCTTGAGCTGCTCCACGCGTCCCAGCACCTGGGCCCGCTCCTCTTCCAGGGCCAGCACCTCCCCCTGGAGCTTCGTGCCAGGGGCATCTTCATGCTGGCGGGGAGGGAAGCCATCAGCTGCGGAAGCCTGGAGCCTTCCCCCATCAGACTCCGGGAATGGAGCCCCATTCCTCAGGGCTCTTGGAAGGGGTAGCTAGACCGAGAAAGGAGGCCAACTCCCCTCCCTGCAAGGGAAGCCGTACCCGCTCAGGTAAAGGCAGCGGAGGTTCACCACTGAGGGCCAGGACTGGAGGACGCCCCAAGGAAAGGCGGGTCAGAAAGCATCTCTGTAGCCTGGGAAATGCACCAGGACGGCCTCACTTCTATACCTCTCCTACCCAGTCTCTTCCCAAACCTGCCCCTTCGGTTACCTCCCCCACACTGAGCCTTGGCCTCCACCACTGTGGCCTCCTCTGCCCCCCATGGCCCCCCAGTGGGTCAGACCCATCCCCTCTCACCAGGTGCCCCTCCGCCCCACCTCCTGCTGGGTGCTCTCTGTGCTGCTACACTCCTCCTTGAGGTTCTCCTCGTCTGAGCGCTCCACACACTCCCACAGGCGCTGGGTGGCCCCTCCAGGCTCCTCGGCATTCCTCCCAGTGGCCCCTGAAAGGCCCCGGGAGGGCCTCCGGCCTGCCAGCGCCAATGCTGCAGTGGCTTCCCCAATGCTGGGCAGCTCCCCAGCCTCAGGCCCCCCGTCAGCCCGGCTGTACTCGGCACACAGGTTCAGGATGGTCTCCAGGCGCTGGCGTTCCTGGGAAGGGTGCACAGAGCAGGGCATGAGAGGGAGGCAAGGAGGGAGGTCGGGTCCTCGTGGAGCTGCAGCCAGGCTCAGCGAGCCATCAGGAGAGAGAACTAGGACTCTAGGTTCTAGGGGCTCAGAAGGAAGTCAAGAGAGCCCCAAACCCAAGGCTGGAGGAAGCAAAGGTAAGGAGGGTGTCCCAGGAGCAGGCAGGAGGAACCAGGCCACTGTGCCACCTGCCCACGTGGCTGCCCCTCCCATCTTCCTGTTTCCTTTCCCTTTTCGTTCTGTCCCCGAGGGGGCTTCCTTGTGGACACCCAGCAACCCAAGCCAGGGAGCAGGCTAAGGACCACAAGGCAATGCTGACAAACACGCAGGTGCTCGGGCTGACTCGGATCTACAGCCGTCTACACACACAAAGGTACACAGACCCCCCCACACACACCAGTCCTGACCCACAAGGACACAACACGTGCGTGCTCTGTATATACACTCAGGCAGGCCCACACAGACACCAGCCCTGGCATGCACGGATGCACGCCGGCACACACTCACGCAGATAAACATAGTCTAGAGTGTAGACAGGTGGGCACGGACCTAGACGGTGTGGGAAAACAGGCCCACAGGCAGCTGGGGAGCTCAGGTTCCCGCAATGCTGCGCTCAGCCTTTGTACAGCAGGCCGGACAGACCTGGGACACAGTCCTCCTCCTGCCCACCCCAGCTATAAGGCACTCAGGCAGCCCCCCACGTCTTACCAGCCAGGTGAGTTGCTGCCTGCCCTTGAACACCCAGGTCCAGCCATGAGTGCTCCGAGTGCCTGCCACCATCCACCCTCACCCCACAAACAGCCCCAGCTGGATACCTCTCAGGGGCCCATGGGGTCAAGGAGGGACCGTGCAATCATGCTCACGATCTGTGGCTCCCTCTCTCATCCACAGCACCAGAGTCGTGAAGCTCCACCTCCTCCAGGTGCCCACAGTTCTGCAAGGGACCTCAACCTCAGGGGTCTCTCACTGCACAGTGTGGCTGGGTCCCCAGACACGTACCCAGCTTCCCTCCTGCTGCCTCCTCAGGTCCATGTCAAAAACAAAACCAGGAACAGAGCCTCAGCACCCAGCACCCGGGGAGGCAGGGCCAGTGCCCCGCCCCTGCCCCAGGACCCAGATAAGCAGCTGGCTGGAGGTGGGAAGGGCCGGGCTGACAGCCTCCAAGATTTAAAGTGGCAGGTGGGGCAGGTCAGGGCTAGCGATGAGGTGTGCACTGGTGCCTGGGCGTAGGGAGGCTGGGGCCCTCACTCTGCCTTCCTAGACTCACTGCTCCCATTCCAGGCTGAGCCCCCAGGGTGGTCCAAGCACGCTCCTCCAGGCCAAGGCAACAACAGTGAAGACGAGATAGAGCGCCAGAAAACACTGGGGATCCAGCCTCATTGGTCTCATCTCTTCCCAGACCGGACACAAACACACTGGCCCGCGCCCTCACCTCACCCAAAGCGGTCCCAACCTCTTCTGAAAAGCCCTCCAGACAAACCTCATTTCTGGTTCTCCTCCTCAAACCAATCTCACGGTCGCTGGGCCCCCCAGCAACCCCGCACTGCTCACAATCCATTCTCCTGTCCGCGTGTAGAGACCCCATGAGCTCCCTGCACTATCCGCTATCCGGGGAATCCTGGCCCCCACCCAGCTCAGATGCCGGCTCCAGGACAGCTGCCCAGAGCCACACCCGGCCCCCAAATGCAGCCACATGCGCGCACGCCAATGCACATGATCACAATTGCACAGGCCTGGGGCTGCCCTTCCCTGCCACCCACCTTCCCAGATGATCCTGCCTGGGCCACGGTGAGCAGCTCCCACCCATTTGAAAAAAAACCAAAAAGAAGAAAGAAAGAAAGAAAGAAAGAAAGAAAGAAAGAAAGAAAGAAAGAAAGAAAGGAAATTTTCTAAAGAAAAGGAGGCTTTTCTAAAAAAAAGAAAAATAAAAAAATAAAACAAAAAAAAAAAACAAGCCTTGGAAAGACAGGAGATTCCAATTCCCGCTCTGCCAGAACTTGCTGTGTGACCTTGGACACACCTATTCCCCTCTCTGGGCCTCAGCCTCGTCATCATTAAGACCGGCTTCTCAGACTGAGAGGTGCAAGGCCTCACCAGAAATATGGTGCATTTTCCTATAGCTTTGTCATAGGTCAATAACACAAAATTCAATTTATACATTAAAACAAATGCTGTGTTATCAAAGAAAAGCAAAATTAACAAGAACTTTAAAAAAAAGCCTTTGAGGGACGCCTGGGTGGCTCAGTCGGTTAAGCGGCTGCCTTTGGCTCAGGTCATGATCCCAGGGTCCTGGGATCGAGTCCCACATCGGGCTCCTTGCTCAGCGGGGAGCCTGCTTCTCCCTCTGCCTCTGCTGCCACTCTGCCTGCCTGTGCTCACTCGCGCTCTCTCTCTCTGACAAATAAAATAACAAAAAAAACAAAAAAAAAAGGCCTTTGAGGGCGCCTGGGTGGCTCAGTGGGTTAAGCCTCTGCCTTCGGCTCAGGTCATGATCTCAGGGTCCTGGGATCGAGGCCCGCATCGGCTCTCTGCTCAGCGGGGAGCCTGCTTTCTCCTCTCTCTCTATGCCTGCCTCTCTGCCTACTTGTGATCTCTCTCTCTCTGTTTCAAATAAATAAATAAAAAATCTTTAAAAAAAAAAAAAAAAGCCTTTGAGACTGCAAGCAAAGCTCTTCAGGGCACCAGACCCTGGAGCTACAGGTCACTAAGGTGCCCCCTGGAAGTAGAAAAGCTGGAGAAGCCCAGGCCCTTCCAAGCACCCCCCCACCCGGCCAGCTGGCCTGCCCTCGCCCTTGCAGAGACTCCGCTGTGGACAGTGGTGCCTCCGCAGCATCTGCTCACCAGCCTCTCCATCTCCTGCTCCCAGAGCCGTTCTTGGCGCTGGCGCCGGTGGTACTCCAGGAGGTCGTCCTCATTGTCACTGATCTCCGTGATGCTATTTTTCCGCTCCCGAGTGACAGGCACCCGCAAGTCCCCACTGGACAGCTTCCTCTGGGCACGGGGGCTCTGGCGGGGCGAAGCCCCTGTCAGAGAGCCCAGACTGTAGGCTGGGCTCAGCCTGCCGCTGAAGCTGCCCTTGCGGGGTGCCAGGGACTCCCCAAGTGTGGGTGAGGGGCTCCGTGTCCTCCGGCCCCGAGCCCCCAGGGTCAGTGAGAAGTCCTCCGGGGAGGCCCCGTGGGCGGCCCAGCGCCGGGGCCGGGGGCTGTCTGCTACTTCTCGGGGGAGCTTGGGATCTGGAGCCGTCCTGGTGGGCATGGGGGAGAGTGCCCGTCGAGACAGAGAGGGGCTCAGCGGAGGGAGCTCTCGCATACTGTCCAGGCCGCGCCGGCCCAGGCGGGGACTCTCGGGAGGCTGCAGGGTGCGGGCGGCTGACCCGTCGGAAAAGGTTCGGCCCACCAGCTGGCGAGAGGGGCTGGTCGTCAACACCCGCTCGGTGCCCGGCAGCTCACGGAAAGGGCTGGGAGGGCGGTCCTGGAGTGTGCCAATCTTGTTTCGGGGAGCAGGGACTGGAGGCTGGAACTTGGGGCTGCCAGGAATGCTGGTGGGTTGGCTTCGGGCACCGGAAGCCGGGTACTCACTCAGGCTGATGGCCACCACGGGCAGCTGTCCTCCTAGCCGGGGGCTCTCGGTGGCTCTGCGGGCCTCCGCCAAGACAGTGGCTGCAGGGCTGTCTGTCAGCAGACCTCGGAGGCCAGGACTCGGAGGCCTCTCATGACCCCCCTTCCTGCCTAACCGGGGGCTCTCAGAGGCGCGGGCACCGCTCGGCCGGGACTGTGGGGGCTGCAGGGCCAGATGGTAGCTGGAGGAACGGGCGGGAACCAGCGGGGGCATAGAAGGTGCTGGCTCCTGCCCGCTGGGTGAGTGGCTGGCACAGCTTCCACTGCTGGCCGGTGAGGAGAGTGGAGAGAAGGCTGGAGAGGTGTTCTCATAGCTGGAGCCCACAGACATGGCACCAGGGCTGGTTGGGGGGGACAGCAAGTAGCGCCCACCATTAGCCATGGGCGACAGTGGGGAAGTCGCGGCAGGCTTCTTGCCAGCAGCTCCAGGCTCCTCTAGCACCAGTGAATCCATGATCTCCTGCAGGTCCTTCTCAATAGAGCTCACCAGCGAACTGTGGCTGGCACAGGCAGAGGGTCCCCGGGTTGCAGGCTGTGGGGCGTGGTTGCCATTCACCAGGCTTTCGGACTCTGCTCGTGAGAAATGCAAAGATGCCTCAGACCCTCGTCTTCAACTCTGGGGAGCTACAGGTGCACAAGAAGGAGGGTGCTCTCCGACCTCCTCCTAGCAGGGGCCAGGGGAGACAGGTGATCTGGGTGCTTCTCTGCCCCTGACCTGCTCGGCAGCCTTAGATCACCTGCCCTCAGTTCCCCTTTCTATAGAGGAAGGGGATGGGGGCTGTTCTGCTGGCTCCGACGTTGCCTGACTCAAGGCAGGGTTGCTAACAATGCCAGGCACTCCTAGGCCTGGTGGTGGTGGGCTCACCCCAAGATGAGGGTCCTCCCTGCCTTGGTTTCCCCAGCCTCCCAACCCTCTCCTTCAGGAAGGGCAGGCGGACATTCTGTAAAGGGGCCGGGGGCACGCTGTGGAGCTGGCCAGAAGTCTGGGTGGGGGGATCCAGTCTAAGAGGACACGAGGGCCTCCCAGAACAGCAGCGGAAACCCAGGGAAAAACACAAACCGAACCTTCGGCGCTGGGCAGGAGGCGTGCCCCACACCCCTCTGTGCAGTCAGAGGGGAAGCCAGGCTGGCCTGCAGATCAGCGCCTCCAATTATCTGCCCATTAAGCCACGCCAGCAGGAGCCTGACTTTGCCCCGCCCCAGGCCTCGCCAACCAACCAGAAGTCCCTGGAACCGCTGCCCCGAAAGTGGGCGTGGCATGACAGGGCGAGGGTGAGAGCCCGGTAAAGCCAGCCCGGGTGTGGACTGGGAACGCAGGCTCCCAAGGGGCTCACCTGACAGACACAGGTGGACACCTATCCCATTACCACACTGACACTTGCCATCCCACAGCCCTCTGAATGCCCGTGCAGAGTTTTGGGTGCTGGGCTCGGGGGCGGCCTCCTGGTCTCCATCCAGCCCCACCCCCTAGGCAGCTGGGTTCAGTGGCGCTGGTCCCCTGCAACAAGCACCGAGTCTCCTCTGAACTTTGGCAATTCACACACCAACTGCAGCCGGTCCGCTGGGCAATTGGCTGGCTTGGTCTGGGGGAGGGGCAGGGCCCACAGACCTAATCACCAGCAGGTGGGACCCACCTGCACCTGCACGGGTTCTACCTAAGGCTTCCTTCCTCCCCCTAAGGCCACCGTCAAGGATGAGGTTCCCGGTGGTGGCACAAGAGGCACCTAATGGTTAGGGTCCCAGACACTGAGGTGGCATCTTCCTGGGCAGTGGGGCTGGCAGAGCCCTCTGTCCCTTTGGGCACATGATTCCCCAATCCCAGCCAAGCAGCACTTCTTGGATCTCTCCCAGTAGCCAGACTGCCTGGCATCCTCCTCCAGTGGCCCAATGGCAGGTGGCAGCAAGCCCAGATCGTGGGTATTGTCCTGCCCTGACACCACAAGCATGGCTGGAAGGGGCAGGGAGGAGGACAGTCCAGGAGGACCGCTAACCCAACCCAAGCCCCCAACTGGGCGTCTACCTGAGCCAGGACTGTAGGGGCGCCCTGGGGCCCGGCCCCCTGCCGGAATCATGCTCTTCATCCACTTGGCTTCGGCTGGGTGGTTAAAACGGAGGAAGGTGGACTGGCCCAGGCACAACATACAGCCTACAGAGAAAGCAAATGCTGAGAAGGGCAGGCAGGGCTGAGGCAGCGTCACCCCAAAGCACTAGCGGGCTCCGAAGAGCCCCGCCCCCTGCAATGCGCGTGCCACAGTGGCAGTGTGTGAGTCCCACGTCCTAACTCTCGTTGCTAGTGGTGAGATCTTCGGGTGAAGTCACTTCCCCTCCGAGTCCAGTTCTCTCGGTAGAGAAACGAGGACAGTACACGGACCTTGCAGAGTTAGTAAGACAACGTATGAGAGGGCGTCCTGGGAACAGAGGTTCTTCAGAGAACACAGACGCCCACATCCCCCCTAAGCTGTACCAATGATCCATCCATCTGCCCCTTGGGTGGAAAAGTCAGTCTGAGAGCCGCAATTTCCAGGATCAAAAAAAGCTCTGAGACAGGGGACAGGGAAAACCCATGAATCAGTTAGATGCCCCCCGAGGAACCAGAATTTGCTTCCTGGCTCCCACTCCTTATCACCCTCCTTATCATTGCGTGGCCTAGGGAGAGCCATCACCCTCTTTCTCTCGGACAAAGCACGCTCTGGCCTGACATCTTCCCGCTCCTTGGTCTTCTCTGGAATCCAGCCAAGCCGAGGGCCAACGGGCCCTGCCTCAGCCAAGCACATTCCCAGGCAGCAGACACAAGTCCAGTCCTGCCCAGTAAGTGTGACTCCACGGAGAGGGGAGGGTGTGTGGGCGCCAAAAATGTAGCCAGGGGCACCAAGAGTGTGCACAGCAGCAGGTGTGCCCATGGGCACCTGAGCCTGGCTCACGGCACTCCTTCTCCTGGACACGCTACCAGATTCCTGCAAAAGATGCTGTGTTGGGAGACACCAGAGCCCAGGGCCCTCTACAACCACCCTCCCAACTTGTCCACACACATGCCCCCAGCCTATTGACCCAATCTGGTGCCACTTGGCACCCCCGAAGCTTCATGCCAGTCTGAGCTAAGACTGGCAGGGAAGTCTACATTCCTGGACGCTGAGACAGTTCAGCTCAGGCAAGCCACAGGGCAAGGGGCATCCAGGCCACGTGGATACCGTGGCAGGCCCCCCACTGAGAAGCTCAGGAGCCGGCCCTCGCTGGTGGGGCAGGGACTAGCCAGCTGAGCAGTCCCTAGCACATAACCGGAGTGGGCAAAGCCACCCACCACTCCGGCACGCCCAGAGGCTCTCCCAAGCGGGCGGGCACCAACAATTCTAGAGACTGATGGGTGGTTAGGCGAGAGGGGAGCCTTCCCCACCAAGCCGCCAATCAGAGGAGCTGATTCCAGAGTAGTCATAATCGGAATAAATAATAGCCAACCACACTTACACCTAATTACAACCACAGCCATTTCAGAAAGAGCCCTGCTGGCCCCTCCCCCTCCTTTCAGCCCTTTAACAAGCTAATTAATAACGAGTTCGCAGGGTCTAGACAGACCCACTCAATTCTAGATTGATGGGGGTGAGGAGGGGTGGGGTGGGGTAGGGTGGGGGAAGATATGGGAGCCTGATCACACAGCCCAGTCTGGACGGAGGTGTGGAGTCTGAGTGGATTCCAGCCCTTCCTGCCAGGCCCACCCAGGAGGCGGTGGGCACCCAGGGACCCTCAGCCCTGGCTTCTACAGCTGAGAGCTCCCTGCCCCTTCTTCTGCCCCTCAACCTCCTGCACTGAGGGGGTGTGGCCTGGCTGCCTCTAGGCTATAAATAGGTGATGTCAGGCAGCAGAGCTGGATCTGTATTAATAGAGCGGGCAGGAGGGCAACAGGCCTCAGAGCAGCTCCCTTCTGCCCAAATTAACTTTCTATTTGAACTTAGGGGCCCCAGGCATGGCCCCAACTCCCGTCCGTCCTGTCCCAAGGGCCTGCCTAGCCTGTTTCTGGAAGGAAACCTCCTTGGGTCCACTCCTGCCCAGCACCTCCAAGAGTCAGCCACTCAGGGAACCCCAAGAACCTCTCCTCCCCGTTAAAGTTGAGGTCCAAGCCCCCATCCCCAAAGGGCCCAGCTGTGTGTGTGCAGGTGGGTGGGTGAGAAGCTGCACATCTGGTTGGGGGGGGGGGTGGAAACCAGGGCAAAGGAGAGGGCGGATCCTATCTCTGAGAGACACGGAGGGGAAACACCACACACAAACACACTCTCCTACAAGCTCGCACACATACCCACGGCTAGAAACACCCAGAGAGGCATACCCGCTCCCGCACTCGCGGACTGACAGGCACGGCTCAGTTGCCACACAAACGGAATGGACCCGCCAAAGGGAGGCTGGGGTGCGGGGAGATGCGAGGAAGGGCCCCCGCCCTTCCATCAGAGACCCCTCTGGGCCCCAGCACGGGCTTCCCCGTCCCCATCAGGACCCCTCTACCCCTTCCGGAGGCGGGTCCATGGAGGGGACTTCCGAGCGCGGAGAGAAGACGAGGTCTGGCTGGCCGAGGGGTGGCCCCGAGCCCAGACCTCCCACTCACATGTTCAGGGCACACATGCCACCGAGTCTCACAGCCCCCCAGCTCCCCAAGGTGAGCCGGACCCCCCCACCCGCGGTCGAGTCCCCCCACCGCAGCCCACAGACGCCCCTCCCAGCCCCCCGCCCCAGCCCCTTGGCGCCCGCTGCCCGGGAGAGGCGGCCGGACGGGCGGAGCACTCACCGGCGAGCCCGGACCTCCGCAGCGCCGGCACCCCGCTAGCTCGGGCCCTCGGGGCTCCCCGCCCGCCCCGGGCCTGCGAGGGGGCGGGCCGACCTCCCGCACCGCGGGCCCCGGGCTCGGAGCAGCCAGCCGCCAGGCAGCCAGCAGCCGCCAGGGCCCGGGGAGGGGCGGGCCGGCCACTGGCGGGGGAAGGGAGCCAGGGAGGGAGGGACAAAGGAGAGGAGGAGGGGAAGAGGAAGTGATGGAGGAGAGGAGAGGGGAGCGGGATGGAGAGGGCGGGGCGGGAGGGTGCGGGCGGCCAGCCGCCCGGGGACTCCGAGTCGGTGGGTGCGGGAGCAGAAGTGAGACCGGGAGGAAAGGTGCGGGGAGGTGACGGAAGGAAAGGTAAGAGGTAAGTGGAGGCCGGAGGGTGAAGCGTCGTCGGGAGGCAGGAGTGAGGAGAAGCAGGGTCTCACTGAGAGCCCTCTGTGGCTGGCCTCACAAGAGGCCTGGGAAGGGGCCAGCCCCGAACCCCACTGGCTGGTCACCTGGGGCCAATCACACCCTCTGGCCTCAGATCCCTTATCTACCAATGGGGAGGTTGTCCTCATTGACAGCAAAGGTTAAGCTCTGACATTCCATGGCTCCCAGGGCTCCAGCTAGGTCACTAGGTTCAGCTCCTGCCCTCCCTGTGCCACTGTGACAAGGTCACTCCTGCGCTGGGAGTTCAGGCCTAGGCTGGGCAGCACTGAGTCTCCCTCCCATCTCCATCCTAAACACCTCCTCTTCTGTCCCTGCTCCCCACACTCCCAGCAGCTCAGCTCACCCCCAGGCTGGACCAAGGTGCTATCCCTTCCCAGCCAGCCTACTCCCCTGGGGCTCCAGGAGCGAACCTCACCTCCTCCCAACCCCTACCACCAGTTGTGCTAGTCTCCTAGAAGAGCTCTCCCACCCCAGTGAGGCACCCTCCCACCTGGAAAACACAGTGCCACCTGCCTCTGGACACCTCTGGACAGCTCATTGTCTTCCAGAGACCTGCCCTCTGGACACCAGAACCTTAAGGGACACACTGTCTCAGATGTACTCTATATGCTCAGAGCTCCCACGCCTCACACACACCAACACATGGACACCACACCTTGGCTGTGCACACTGACACACACAAACACACCGTCTCTGACATGTGCTTATTCTCACCCCCATAATACCCCTCTTGGTTACACACTCATTCAGGCACAGACATCCTTTCACTCAGTCCCTGGAGAGACTCTGGAATCAAAAGCCAACCTCCTTAGAGAAAAAAAATCATTTCTCCACCCTTGCTAAATACCTACCCACGTTGCCATACTCCACACATGCTCACGCGCACACGCACACACGTATCTCACTCTCCTGAAGGAAATGGGAGAACCATGTAGGGTTAAATGCAAAATAGGGGGAGCTTTAAAAAAAAAAAAATCTGCTCAGGAAGAATGATTCATCGGTCTGGAAACTGTGACAGCCAGCTGGACAGACCCAGACAGACACGGAGGATACCCGCCAGTGAGAAATAGGGCAGGAGGCAGGCACAAAGAAGGGAGCAGCTGGGAGCCTTTGCTCTTTCTCTCCTTCTTTTGATCTTTATCTTCTAGCAGAGCACGGTTGGAAGCTTCACTCCCATTTCACAGAAGGAATAACTGAGAATTGGGTGGGAGAGGAAGAAGCTCAGTGTCCTGGATCCCAGAGGGAGCCGGCTGGATTACCCAGGAAGCCCAGCTCCCCGGCCACATTCCAGGGAGCTCCCCCGCTTCTGGCCTTCACACAAGCCCCTACCCACCAATGAAGGGCTTAGGGAGTGAAGGAGACATGGAGACTAGGCTGGCAGTGAATGCTGGGAGTGGACAGGGACCTACTGTCTAGACAGCCTGGGCCCCAAGCCGTGTGGCTTTCTGGGTCCTCCCCTGATCCGTCCCCTCCCAGAGCTTTCATGTGGTCTGGCGCTGTGGTCCCAGGGTGGGGCAACCTCAGCCCGGTTGAGATTCCTTCTTATTTTCTCGCTCACATTCCCATCTCCAGCTCTTGCTCCGTAAAGAAGAGGGCAGCACGAGGTGTGCCAGAAAACCGGGGTATGGAGGTGGAATCGGGCTTGTCCTCGCTTCCCTCCTGTCATGCTGCAGTGTCCATGGCTTTAGTGAGAGCCAAAGGCCAGCTTCTGCTTTCTGCCTGCCCCCCCCACCTCCGGGCCCAGGCAAGGTCCTGCTGGAAGAGCCTGTCACCGCCATCTCTACTCCTCCTGACATGTGCCTGTCCAAGTTGCCTCTGGCTGGCACAATGCCCAGAATGATGCACCTATGGATGACCTGGCCCAGCTAGAACAGGCTCCTTGTTCTTTGTAGGGTAGCCCTCTGTTTTCAAAGAGGAGGGTCCTCCTATGCACCTGGGTCGGGAACGAGACAGGGAACCCGATCCTCTTGTACATATGCCCACGGACAGGCACGGGGCCAGCGAGTTCTCAGATCCACACTCTGGTACCCTCAGTCCCGAGTTCACCCCCGTCCCCCACGTGAACACGCTGATCCATAAACACAAGGAAAGGCACAAACAGCAATACACAAGCCCCGAATCACAAACACATCCGGAGATATATAAACACACTCCAGTTACACAGACACACAGAGATAGCACACGCACACAGCCCCCACCACCCAGTTTCCAGGGAAACGCACTCCCAAGAATGTCCGGAGTGGGGCCAGGCAGGGCTGGGCTTGGTGCCTTGCTCCAGAGATGAGACAAGGAAAGCCTCAGCTCCCGGGAGCCCAGGGGAGGGGGAGTGCTAGGGAGAAGAACACCCGTTCCTTTGTGCCTCTGCCTACCCCTCCCGGGGCTGCCAAGCTCCTGAGACAGGCAAGCCCAGACAAGGAGGCTGTGGGAGTGGGAGGGAGCAAAAGGGAAGGGGGTTTAGGGTCAGAAGAGAGTGGGAGGGTACATACTTGGCAGGGTGGAACCTTGGCTGGGGAAGAGTTAGGGGTCACCGGGGCCACAGGAAATGCCTAAGAATTCCATCTTGACCCAGGCGCTCCCTCTTCTCAGGGAGCTAGAGGATGCTCTGGGCAGACTGCCCAAGAGGGCCCTTCAGAGCATCCGTTCCTGCACCCTGCTCACAACACACATGTGCGTGCCCATGAATGCGAGGGATCTGGGGCTGGGGGAGTGAGCTCCGGGCTCTCTCTCCAGCCTCCTTTGAACTCTGCCCCTCCCTCTCCCTGCTGCCGGACCAGCTCACTTCTACACACCCAATCTTGGGGAAGATGTTCTCTGGGAGGCTGAAAGGGACTGTCAGGAACCAGATGGCATCACAGCCAAAGCCCCAATTTGTGGGGGTCCCTCCCCTCAGCTGGAGGTGGAGAACTTGAGGCCCTAGAAGAGGCAAGGGCCTGCCACTGCTGCTGGTGGACCTGGGTCCCTGAAGCCACATGGCCCCCTCACACTCCCAAGGGCAGGAAGAAAGGAGCAGGGCAAGGTTGGGTCTCCTGGGTGAGCTGTAAAGGGAGCGGCATCTAAAGAGAGCTTAAGGCTATGAACAGAAGGACAGAGGGAAACAAAGGAATGAGGGGACTTCCACTGCCAAAGAGCTTTCAGCCAGTAAGACAATGCCGGGACATTAGTCCTCCCGCTCAGAGTCAGGCTTGGCCCACAGCGCCCACCCTCATGTCAACCCCGCCTCCGCCCCCCACCCCAGGCCTGCTTTCTCACTCCCCTAACGTGACTATTTGTTTATAAATGGCTGCCCAGGGCAGACACACCCAGTCTGTCAAAGCACCACCTGGGCTGACCCCTGAACTCCCAGTCACAAGAACAAGGGGCCCAGTTTTCAGAGCCACCTGACACAACAGAGTGGCAGTGGCTTTGGGGGACAGGGTGCTAACCGTATTCATGACCCCAGAGCTACTGTGGACGCTGTTTTAACGGAGTGGCCGTGTCCTGGGATCTCACCTTTGCTCCATCCGCATCCGGAGGGAGCGGCCTCCTTCCCCACCTCCCCACCTCTTTTCAGAGTGACCCCCTCTTGGCATCATGAAACAACCCCATGGTTGTCCTGTCGTTCCAACTGCCCTCCCTTAACCATCTCACTAATGACCTGACCGCTGCACCACTCCGCCTGCCCTTTGAATGAGGTCACCAGGACGTCTCCCCTCCCCGCCAAGAAGTGACCAGAGAAGAAAAGCAGGCTGAAGACAAATCGGGATCCTAGAGGAGTTGGGGGTGTTCTTGAGGCACAGGGAGAGGCCCCTGAGCCTCCCACTGGCTCTGTGTTACCATGGCAACCGCAACAGCAGGCTCCCCCCCCCCACCAAGGCCCCTAGCCCAGGCTTTTCAACAGAGACCTTCGCCTCCGCCTCCCGCTGGGGGCAGCACACCTTACCCTGAGTGAGCCTGGTGGGCTGCCGGACAGGGAGCCCATCGATACTGCAGACGTTGCCACAAGGGTGGAGGGTGAGGGTGCCCCGCACATTCTCGATGTAGCAGTGCTCTGGGGCCAGCCCGGGACCCTGCAGGGAGATGTCCCTGGCCGCGGAGCCAATCACCGTCTTCCCTGAAGACAGAGGGCAAACTGAGTCCCAGGCTGGGCCAGGAGGGCGGCCAAGGAGACAGAAGCCCACCTCCTCCTGCACAAAGGATTGCTGCCTACCACCGGCCACCTTTTTGGGCCCCTTTGGTGTCCCCCTTTGATGGAGAAGGTCAGGGGGAGAAGCTCTGGGCAGGCAGAGAAAACTGGCTCACAGATGGGGGGACCCAGAGGACACAGAGCAGCCAGGCTCTACCGACAGAGAAGGGGAACTTCTTTCCTGCAGACCTTCCTTTAGTCCCTCCACCTCCTCGTCCCCAAGTCCTCTTCCTCCTTCATCCTGCTCTCCTGCTCCCCATCTCTCCCCACAACTTCTGCACCTGCACCCCTTGCTCTCCCTGGCTCCTCTCTGTGCTAAGGCTTACACAGCTCTCCCCCTGGCAGAGCCCCTGGGACTGGTATTTGGAGAATGTGGGGAATGTAGAATCACCCAGGCAACAAGTGCAGCCAGGGGAGAAGTGAGGAGGCCAAGGAGGCCAGGCAGAAGCCAGCGGGGAAGGGGGCTGTGCCAGGGCCTTATCTCAGGAGGTCGTTCCCCCCACCTCCCAGCCCTCCATGCTCCACAGGTGGCTGCTCCCACGCCAGGCATAGGCCTGGAATGGGGCCCCTTCCTTCTTGGCCACACTGGTTGCTAAGAGCAATGGGCTCTCCTGTTTCAGTGCTCTCCTCCTTGTTTCTAAACTAATCTTTAATCCCAGTCATGGAGCCAGATGATCTACCAAAGGGGGCCAGGCAGTCCAGGGAGGCCAGGACAAGGGGGGCGAGCTGGTGGCGCGGCCTCACATCTGGGGGAGGTGAACATGGCTGACAAAGGGCAGAAGGGCCCCCGCGCGTGCCTGGGATCCAGGGCAGGAATGTCTTTAAGGACCAAGGGGTGGTGGGGTGGAGGGGCCGTCCCCCCACACTTACCTTCCTCCAGAGGCAGAAGGGTGATGGCCGTGCTAAGCCGCCCACTGCCCAGGCTCACCAGATGTGGTTTGTCCGTCTGCACTTTCAGCCCCTTGCCTGTCTCAATCAAGTCCAAGGGCCCCTTCTGCAGGTGGTGGGGGTGAGGGATGAGCATCATGAGACCCTTCAGGCCAGAACCTGAGCACCCGAGCCCCCGTCACACCGGCACTCCCGCCAGCACCTGTCCTCTCCAAAGGACTCTGAGGGTGTCGAAAGGCTCAGCCCAAAATCTTGCACGGAGCATTATTACACTAAATTGAAATGAGATCTGAATCTAGGCCACTAACTCGTCCCACTGGATTTCTCAAGCCTTGGCTTAACTGCCCCCTTTGTCTATTAAGACACAAAAAAGGAGAAAGTGAGAGGAGCAGGTGGGTGCTGGAGAGGAGAAGGGGCTGCTGCAGAGGAGGGCCAATGCAGACTTGTCCCTGTAGACTTGTCCGTGGCCATCCCCTTGGCCACTGCTTGCCTCCGTGAAACTGAATCACAGTGGAGGACAGAGCCTGGGATCCAGGAGAGAGACATAGCCCAGGGTCAGTCTGTAAACCGGCTCCTGACTTCCAAAGGGTATATTCTGGGTGAACCAATTAACCTGATTCAGATAACACCTCAGCTATTAATAGGCTTGGGACCTGGGGAAGGGTGGAGAGGAGCTGCTGCTCTCCCTGGGCTGGGGCCATGGCTGGGGCCACCGCTGGGGCCACGGGTGGGGAGAGGAGCCAAACCCACCCTCTCCAACAGCCCTCTTGCCCCTTGGCCTTGACCTGCTCACCTTTATCATTGCTTGGGTCTTGCATCCGGGGCCTCCCTGGTTCCTGTTAAGAGCGTCCATGGTCCTGGGGCTCCACGGCTCCTGGGGACACAGCAGAAGGCAGGTGTTGGTGGGGAGGCGGGGGTGGGGGTGGGGGAGAGAAAGGAATAGGGTCTGAGGCCATGCTCCCAGGGGTGGGGGCGGTACCAGTCACCCTCATTCCCAGCAGGCTCATGCAGAAGAAAAAGTAGAGGCAGCTCGGAGGCAGACACCCAGCACACTGTCCTCACCCTTGCCACCATAAGCCAAAGACCCCTAGAGGCCCCGCCTGTATGTCTATGCTTTCTTGCCTCAGAAATCCAGGAGCTAGGCTTCTGCGGCAAAGGACGCTCAGACATCTGGAGCCAGAGGTAAGGTGGGGAAAATCTACCTCAGTAAGGGAAGCTAGGGTCCAAGAACTCCCCAGGGAACACTGGTAGCCAGAGACACCCCCCCAGGTGGGTGATAGAGCTGAGGCACTCCCCCCCCCATCTCCTGCCTTTCCCTTTGTCTCTTTTCCCCAGGGGTCTCCACAGGGTGTCTGCTTAAAGGAGACACCACAGGAAGAACTCAACCATTCCTGCCTTCTGTATGCCTCAACTCCTACACCTTCTCTTCCCCAGAAAGCAGTCTCACCCCCAGACAATCAGCGAAAAACCCCTCAGTGGTGACTAATAACAGTACAGTTTTCTAGGTTCTTCATCTGATCTGGTGTGGTAGGAAGCTTAGGTCTTTAGAACCAAGGGTAAAATAGATTCGAGAGCCAGAACTGAAGCTCTTTCCACGCATCCCTTTCTCCCTCCCTCACGGTTTTGGTACCTTTGGGTACGAATGTGGGCCTGTGTGCCCGTCCCTTGATCATCTTGTTAAGGTGACAGGCTTCCCATTTGCTGCGGACATGAGGCTGGGGAAAACTGAGAGTGGCTCCAGGTGGGAGGGAGACCCAGGAAGGCAGGGTTTCCCTCCACTTTCTCTTCCAAGCCTCGACCATGGCCTAGTGACTTAGGAAGTAGGGGCAGGAGCCAGCATTCCAAGGAGAGCCTAACCCCAGCTGTAGGGCCCAAGGGCCTCAGCCTTAGAGAGTTACTAATTTTACCCTCCCAGCTTCCACCCTTCCGGACCTAGACGACATCATGTCCGTCACTGTGTCCACCCAAGCTGGCGGAAAAAAAAACCGGAATTCGGCCTGGGGCCCACCCCAGCTCCGCCTGGGAAGAGGGAAGGCAAAGGCAGTTAACCTACACCAAGTTCCAAGCTGGCCCGGCACCTCCCCAGGAGATCTGGCTGTGGAGAAGAATTTCCAGGGTTAGAGCCTGCCTGCTGTCCTGTTTCCTTACACTTGGGGAAAGCCCTCAGCATTCTCCGAGGAAAGGGAGGTGAGAGAGTGGGTTGGGAATGGGGAGTTTACATAAAAGAGGGAGTAAGAAAAGAAAACAAAAAAATAATGGGGAAAGAAACAGCATCACCATTTAGTGGAAAGAGATTTAGGCTGGAATGCAATAGCCTTAAATTCTCACCCTGACTTTATTATTTATTAGCTGCGGGATCTTGGGCAAGTTACTTAAATTCTCTGAGTGTCAAGTCATTCTTTATAAAAGTGGAATAGTGACTTTTTCACAAAAGATTGTCTGGATTAGTGCTTGCCTGTGGCTAAGGGTAGGATGGAGAGTGACTATAAATGGGCACAAGATTTCTTTTTGGGGTGAGGGAATTGTTCTCAAACAAAATTGTAAATATAAAAAAAAACTGTAAATATACTCTAAAAAAATCACTGAATGTGCACTTTAATTAAGTGAATTTTATGATATATATGTTATACCTCAATAAACCTGTTTTTTTAAAAGATTTTATTTGTTTATTTGACAGAGATTACAAGTAGGCAGAGAGGCAGGTAGAGAGAGAGGGAAACCAGCTCCCCGCTGAGCAGAGAGCCCCATGTGGGACTCAATCCCAGGACCCTGAGATCATGACCTGAACCAAAGGCAGAGAGGCTTAACCCACAGAGCCACCCAGGTGTCCTATTTTTTTTTAAAAGATTTTATTTACTTGAGAGAGAGAGTGCAAGTGAAAGCACAAGTGGGGTGTGGGGGAGGGAAAGGGAGAAGCAGACTCCCCACCAAGCAGGGAGCCCAAGGCAGTGCTTGATCCCGGAAGGGGAGGATCACAACCCCAGCAGAAGGCAGACACCTAACCAACCGAGCCACCCAGGTGCCCCAATAAAACTGTTCCTTTTCTTTTCTTTAAGATTGGAGAGTCAGGGTCGCCTGGGTGGCTCAGTTGGTTAAGCAGCTGCCTTCGGCTCAGGTCGTGATCCTAGCGTCCTGGGATCGAGTCCCGCATCGGGCTCCTTGCTCGGCGGGGAGACTGCTTCTCCCTCTGCCTCTGCCTGCCATTCTGTCTGCCTGTGCTCGCTCGCTCTCTCTCCCTCTCTGACAAATAAATAAAATCTAAAAAAAAAAAAAAAAAAAAGATTGGAGAGTCAGCTCTTATATTAAATGACACTGTGTGAAGCACAAAGCACCGTAAACATGCCAGTTATGAGTATGGGTTTCAAGATCTAGAACAAGTCCCTTCACCCTTTTCTATCAAATTCGTCACCATTACCCTGTTCATTTATTTACACCAAAGAATTTCAAGCGGAGATAAAGATTGTAAAGGAACAAGGGGAACAAGACTGATGCGAGGAGAGGAGGAAACAATAATGTGAAGGAGAGGGGGAGACCAGGAGGGGCGTGTGGGGAGAGACGGAGAAGATCGGGAAAGATGTAGAAATCAGCATGTTCGAGGCCGTGGCCCCAGCTCAGAAACCTAACCCAGGTGAAGCGGAAAGCTACACCAGACCGACGCGTCCCAGTCGCACCCGGGCGGCGCTTTGACAAAGGGGCTGTCCCGCGGCCACCTGGGGGCGCGCTCTCCTCCGACCCCACCCGGGGCAGGGATAGTGAAGCGGCGCTGAGCCTGGGCGCCCTCAGCCGCCAACCCGCTTCTGTGGACATGGCTACCCACCACCTCTGGCAGTAATTACCCACTCGGAGCGCCCCGCCCGGCCCCGCTGCCAAAAAAAGGCCCCTGCGGCGCAAGGCCGGCTCCCGGGAAGGAGGGACGCGAGGGAGGCGCCGTGGTCAGCCCCGGCTCTCCGGAGCCCTCCCGCACCTCCTGGGGACAGGACGGCGGAGGCCTGGGAGATGGGAGCCGCCGTGCAACAGGCGGGAACCCCGTGGCGGGCGAGGCCGGGGCTCCCGCGGGTGACCCCGCTAAGGCCCGGGCCCTCCGGCCTCCTTGCCCGGGCGGGACGCGTGGGCACCCAGGCCACGCGGGATCAGCCTGTCCCCAGACCTCTCCGCCTAGTAGGTGGCCAGAGTCACCGCTTGGGGTCTTGGCACCCGAACTAGGGTGAAGGTAGGCCCGAGGAAGGGCCGAAAAGGTCTGTAACCAACAGGCGTTGGAGGAAGTCCAGGCTCCAAATCGGGCCCCTGGCCAGAGGTCCCAGGCGAGTCCCCGAGCGGTGCCCTGCTCCTGCGCTTCCCGGAGTCCCGCGGGGCCGCTCCAGCCCTCACCTGTGTCCGGTGGGGCCAGCCGGACCCTCGCCCCAGGCGTCGCATGGCCGTGGCCGGAGGCCTGCGTGGCCGAGCTGGGACCCTCTCCGCCCGCCGCCGCCTTCGCTTTCCCAACGCACATCCGCCCTCAAGGAAGGGCGGCCAGCAGGGGAAGGAGTCGGGACGGGAAGGAAACTGAGGCTGTGAGCCCCGAGGGCGGGGGCCGGGGAAGGGCGTGGAAAGGCCGGGTGGAGAGAACTGGAGAAGGGGGGATATGAGGGCTCAGCGGCGGGACAAGGTGGGTAAGGGGAGACGCAGGTATGGAGGGGCGGGATGGAAGACGGAGACTGAGGGATAGAGAGAAAATGAGAGCTGGGGAGATTGTCAGGAGGGGAAGAAGGTGGGGAAACTCTCCGCGGGACTCAGAGCTGGGTGGAGACGGAGGGACAAAGAGGCGGAGGGCCTGGGGGACAAAGAAGGGGATGGCGAGACTGAGAATACGGAGGTCTTCGAGTAAAGGGGACGACGGCCAGGGGCAGCCCTAGAAGGTACAGAGGGCAGTGGAGGGGGAAACGGAGGGGTGGGGAGCCAGGGGAAGGGAGGAGCAGGGGGGCTGAGGGCAGCCGCGGCCCTGAAGTTGGGACGGGACCGCAGGTGGGCGGCAGAGGCTCCAGAGGGCAGAGCTAGGGAGAGGCGGGAGTGTAGAGTGGGGCTCCGGTTCTCCAGGGGGAGAGAAGGGGGTGCTGGCGAGCGCCCCTCTCTGAGGTTGCGGGCGGGGTGGAACTGCCGCCGGGGCGCGGCTCCTCGCTGGCCCGGAGCCTGTGCTGCCTAGGGCCGCCAGGTGGGACAAGGCCGCAGTGTTGGGTCGCCCCGCCCGCGGCGCACGCGGGACAAGCGGCCTTTCTTTGGCCGGGCGGGGAGAAGGAGCCGCTTGTTTACGCGGCCGGGGAAAGGGGCGGCCGCTCCGACACCGCCCGCTCCCCGCGGGGCAGCTGCGGGAAGGGGGGCCCGAGGGTGCACGGGAGGTGCGAGTGTGAGCGGCAGGGTGTACGGACGGGAACTGCGTGAGCGCTGCAGGCCCCGCGTGCGAGCGCCGGCTTCGGGGTGCCGGGAGCGCAGCGCGTGCGGACTGCGGGCGGAGGTCCCGGCGTGCTGGAGGCTGCCACACGCGCGACGGCGGCCTAGACTCGGGCTGCGCGCGCGGCCGGAGGGCGCGCGCGTGGGTGACACGGGGTGGGGCGCGGTGCGTGTCCGCTGCGTGGGATGCCTGACGTGGTGGGGAGCTTGTATTTGTGTGCGAGCGGTCGGATGAGTCAGCCCGGGAGCCTCCGGGACGGTTGAGCTAACGGGACCAGAATGCAGCCCCGCCCCGGCTCCCTGGGTCCCCCGCCGGGCCGCGCGGTCACCCGCCAGTCCAGGCCCCCGCTCATCCCAGCCCCCGCGGAAGCGTCGGCGGGCGCCTCGGCAACCCCGCGCGGGGCGGCCCCTCCCCGGCCCCGCCACCCCCGGCCCCCAGTCCCCCGCCGCCCGCCCGCCCGCACTTCCCCATCCCGGAGGAACCCGGATGGCTGGCTCAGCCCCCGCCTCGGGGAACTCCGCTAGGGATAAGAATCCGGACCCTACGGGCGTGGCAAGAGCCTGGGGCTCCCTCTCCTAAGCGTGCCCCGTCCGGCCTCCCGGACCCCTAAAGATGCGGGGCCTCGGAGGAGAGCTGGGGAGACCCGGGACGTGCCTCCCGTCACCTAAACACACCCAGGAGTGTCTCCCGGATTCCCACCGCCTCCGGGCTGGACTCCACACACATTCCTCGTCCATAGAGGCGGCCTGGCCGGGGCAGGAGCGGAGTTGGCCCAGGAGGGCCCCCTCGCCCGGTGCAGGGCTCTCTGCCTGCAGTCGGCCAGAGAGTGGGAGGCGTGCGGCGCGGGCGGACGAGACTCCGCGAGTATCCGCCCGGCGGGCCATCTGGGTGCCTGCAGGACAGTCTGGATGGGGCAAGGACCAGCGTCCCTCCCGGGGAGGAGCGCGAGGGCCCCCTCTGGCGGCTGCGCGGACAGAGGCTCCGGAGGGCAAAAGCAAGCAGCTGGCAGAAAAGCCGCGGAGCCGGCTCCCCACAAAGCCCCTTTCTATCGCCCCCCACCCCACTGCACACACCTGGGGCGCCCCCTCCTCCCACACGGTTTCTTCTGGGCCCTCCAGCCCAGAGCTGATCTGAGGGCTCCCGCCAGGCCCTGGGACTTCCCCTTATCCAGTCCCAGCAGCGCAGCCAGCGAGACCCACGGGCCTAGTGGTAGAGAGCGTCCTTACCTCGCGCGGGGAGAGGGGGACACCGGTTCCCTCGCCTTGCTCCGCCGCCGCGGCCTCGGGCTCTGGAGGACACTGTTGCTTTTCCCTGGGAGCCCGCTGAGTGGGAGGAGAGCGAGAAGGTCCCGCCCCCAGTCCCCGCCCCCGTCCCCCGTCCCGTCCTGCCAGGCTAGCCAAAGACGCCCTTGTGGAACTGGAGCCCAAGGTCCCCCCACCCACCCTTTCCCATAGCAGCACCTCCCCCCAAGGCCCCCCCACCCCCCGCCTGCACAGCGCCCGCTTTGTTCCTCTCTGCAGCTGGGCTCTCCACTACCATCAACACACGCACACCCCTCCTCCCTCCTGCCCTCCCCTTCCGACTCCCCTAGACCACCCTCCACCCCTAGGCCTTAAGGCTCTTCTGAAAGGGTGTTTTTGACAATTTCTCACTCTCTCCCCCTGCACGCCCCCTTTTTTAAAACCTTAGGTGCCTGAGTCCTCCGTAGCTCCCAGTGAACCTCATGGTCATAGAGCCCTCCAACATGGTCTCGGTATCTCCAGAAAATATCTGCTGAAGGTACCCAGGTACACCCTCTCGTGCTCACCTCCAAGCCCTGACATGAAGAGCTGTAAATGGGGTTGATAACCCTCCACATCCGGCTTCAGAGACTTTTCTGAGAGGTGGAAGACATGTTAAAGTGCCATGGAAAGTGTAAAGCACAGAAACCTGAACTGAATCAGCATCTTGCCCCCATCCATGTAGTCCATCTTACTACCACCTGCTGACTTACAACTGGGGTGAGGCAAGCTATAGGCAGACAACTGGGCACACCATCCTAGAGCAATTTGGGTCTCTGTAGGAGTAGGGGGTTAATATGGAAGAAAAGGAGGGACTCAGGGCACCTGGGTGGCTCAGTCATTAATTGTCTGCCTTTGGCTCAGGTCATGATCTCAGGGTCCTGGGATGGGGAAGCCTGCTTCTCCCTCTCCCACTCCCCCTGCTTGTGTTCCCTCTCTTGCTGTGTGTCTGTCAAATAAATAAATAAAATCTTTAAAAAGAAGAAAGAAAGAAAGAAAGAAAGAAAGAAAGAAAGAAAGAAAGAAAGGGAGAGAGAGAGAGAAGGAGGGACTAAAAACCTAAGAGGAGTCTAGAAACTGAGCCTGGTTGAGGTCATTCTTCATCTCAACCCCCACCCCGAAATCCAGCTCAGACAGTGGATCCTTACCTTGCAAAGCCAGCTCTTGCCCCAGGAGACTGACTAGGGAGACCCTAGGAAGCTGACCTCAGCTAGGCTAGACCTCTTCAACCTGCCCTCAAGGGAAGCCCGAGACTCCTCCTGGCTGAATGAGGGAGGAGGCTTCTAGCTGGGGCAGAGAGCAGAAAATAATTTGCCCTCTTTGGGATGAACATATCTTGTTCTGATTCAGTGACTTCAGTTTGTGCCCTCTTTCCCTAACCCTGGAACAGCAGGAGGCTGAACTGCATTGGTCTTTGGTCACTCATTGACAGGGCCAGCATTAGCAGGGGGGCCCCCCACTGCTGGAGGCTGGGACTGACTGGAGCCAGGCAGTGGACAGGAGGGGGGAGGGGAAAGACACTTTGCACTTACCAGCTGTGGCTAACAGAGGTCAAACAAGCAAGGTTCCAGCAGGCATCGTGGGTACCAGGAAGCCTCAGAATTTGGGGGATGGGGAGGAAGCCTCTTATTCTTCCTCTCTTCATACTGTTTGAAGCTCATGAAAGTGTTTTGACTCTGGCCACCTTTCATGAGACAGATCACAACAGTAAGTTTCAGACTATTCTGGTAAAAGAAAAAGAAACAAAACCCAAACTATTGTATCCTAGATGCCAAGACCCAGCATCTGAGGGAAGGGGCTCTGATTGGGGTACCTCAGTCTTTTCACGTAACTGTTTCACAACTCCCGGATCTTCTTTACCATTTCGGTCGGGAGGAATTTCAGGGAAGGATGGAGCCTGCCACAAGGCAGCTGATGCTGAGGAAGGGGGTGAAACAGCACCCACCTTCTCTGTCCTCCCACTCAGGGACCAGCTAACCCCAACGCTCTGTGCAATGTGTCCTCCTGCTGGGTTGAGGCCCTATGTTCCCACAGTTAGAGCACTCAGGGGACCGGGGACCTACCACCCCACCCTCCACCCCCACCCGCTGCACATCTGGAGCCCATCAAAAAACTCAGTGCTCTCTCACAATTACGCAAGAGGTCGAGCAGCTGGGAGCTCAGGAAAGGGGGAGGAAGAGAGAAGAAAGCAGAAAACAGCTTTCCAAGCATGCTTCAGACTTTCCGAAGTGGAAGCAGCGGGGAGAGGGCAAAGGCTGGGTGTGGAAGGAAGAGTGGGTTTGCAAAGGCTCTGCACTTGGCTCTGAATGTCAGGAGTCTATTTCCACATCCCTCCTGCCTTCGCCTAGGCCCTCTTCCCACCTCTGTCCCTCCTCTCGCACCACGCTCCCTCCAGCCCCAGGAGGAGGCAGCTGTTGCTGATTACAGCAGGCCAACCCTGTAGAGTCACATCTTCTCAAGTTCTCCTTTCTGGCCTCTCTGGGTCCTGAAGTCAGGCAGCATTGGTGTTGATGCGGTGACAGCAATGACGCCAAGTGACTCCTCCCTGCCTCAGACTTGGGGAAAAGTTCAAACCTTTCTTCAGCAGGAGGTCTCTCCTAAAAATTGCACAATCCATGCTTAGGCCCAAAGCTGAGAGACACGGGAGCTGAGTGGGCAGTTTGGGTCATGGGGGAAGACTGTCTCATCTACATCCATGTAGGCTCAGGACCTTCCTATGAGCTGAATAGAACAAGCACTGATTTGGGCAAAAGAATGGGAAACAAGACCCATTTCCACTTCCCTCGTTGCCTTGACATTGTAATGCCTCTTTTTCAACTAGCCCGTTTGGTTAGCAACCTGATCACACCGAGTTCGATTATGGGAGCTTTTGAGAATTGGACTAAGCCCTAAATAACCGTTTAGCCCCTGCCCTATGAGCAGCAAGGCAAAAAAATGTGTCTGTGGGGGGTGGGGGGGGGTGAGAAGTGACCCGAGCTCCTGAAAACTTGGATTGCCTGACCTCGTGTCTGAGTGGGCAGAAGCTTAGTTTGGAAGGGTACAGTCTTCCTAAGGTCTAGCGCCACATAAACCCCAAACTCCCAAGGGTAATACGGGAGACCGACACTTGGGGGGAGGCTTTCTAACCTTGGGTAAGAGCAACATACAGCACGCAATTGCTGTGGAGCTTCTAGGACTTTCAAAGCTCTGTAGCGGCAAACAGATTTACCAAAGGGGGCGTCGGGGGAGGGAATGGAGGGAGAGGATGGTTGCAATGAGATGTGCATAGTAAAGGGGAGTTAATTCGGAGTTTTTACTTTCTTTTGAGAGATTCCTCTGAAGCCTACAAGGCAGACCCCTCCCTATTCCTCACCCTCACTAAGACCAGCTGTGGTTGGTCTGGTCTACCTGAGGCGAAAAGGTTTTGTAAGCAGATTCAGCCATTGCTTCTAGTTAGACTTTCATCTTCTTGAGGATAGGAGCTTTTTCTATTTTTCTGTCTTCCTCCAATGAGCCCGACCAGATGTGAACATTTTAAAAAAGCTACTCTGTATCAACCCTAGAAATCTCTCAGGCGCTACTCAGTGTGAACAACTTCCCATTAATTGGAGGGCAAAGCTTCCCGAGTCCCAGATGCACGGGCTGATAGATCCAGGGGTTAGAAACTACTGTGGGTAGATGAATTACAGATCTTTTTAAAAAGGAATTCCTGACCACGAGGTGTGTTCCCTACCTCCTCTGTGTGGAATTAATTAATTCAAAGCAGGAAGCACAAACCTCCTACATTAAACAGAATGCTCAGTCAGATCTAATTATTTTGTTAGTCTCCCTCACAGGAGGCCAACAAGAAGTCCACCGGACGCGGTGGTGGGACTTAGCTACCAGTCAGGGCCGTCGCTCCGCCCTGGTAAGCTTCCCTGGGCTAAGGTTACATTGTCAGAGAGCCATGCCACACTCCAGCGACAGGGACCGGAGACTTTGTTATTTCTCTTAAGGAAAAAAAAAAATTCACTCTTGGCTTTCACCATGGCGATAAAAACTTCATCATTCCCACTCATTATTCACTAAAGAGAGTAATTTGTCTTTCAAAAAATCTGTTGACAGTCAATAGTTCTTTTAAGTTAAATAAAAACAAAGTTAGGATGAAATCTTCCCTGAGGGAATTACCAAAACTCCCCAAGCATCTATCCCCCCCCCACCACGGGATCACTTACTTCTTATCACCGTTGCTCTAATGGGGAAGAGAATGCTCTGAGAGATCACCGATCATTGTTATTCTTTAACAGATGAAGCCTCATGTTTCCGACTCTACAAATATCCCTGACAAAAGTAAAACCCAAAGTCCCTAAGTAGCATCAACTTCAGAAGCTCCACGGACCGGAGCACACGTGTGTATGTATGTGCGTGCTCAGAGAACACACGCAGAGGCATCGTACCTGTAATGTAGGGGAAGGCAGCGAGTACTGGATAGAGATTCTTTTCTCTTAAAAAAAACATATCATTAATTTTTAAACTTAGATCCCATTACATTATCTCGAATTAGCAAGGAGACATCAGAGGATGAGACAGTCAAGAATCTAATAAACATTCATTTTATAATACTCTTTATTTGATTAAAGAATTTTCCTTCTTTGTGTACACTGGAATGTTATATTCCCTATGTATTTTACAGGGTTACAAAACATCTCTCATTTTAAATATTACCCCAAAAGTAATTTCAGAAAAAAAAATTGTGAAACTAAACAACTTTAAAAAAATCATATGGACAAGCAACTTTCAAACAAAACTGGATTAATAAGATCTCTTGCCTACTTAACTACATGACAGATTTCTTGTCCCAGTCCCCTTCCTCAAAAAAAACCTCATGTGGAAACCAAGCCAGAGATAAGGATTCTTCCCTGATGCAGTTAAGGGAAAGGGAAAGGCCAGAAATTTCTTTGGCAAACAATTCCATCCATGGCCATCTGTGTGTGACTGCTTTGCTTCGAGGACAGTACACTCTTTGCAGGGGAGGCCCGATGTCATC